GCTTGCAAGTGGCTGTACATCGCCCTCTACTGGCAGCATCTGGGAATACAGGAATGTAGGCCCGCCCAGGAGCCAGCAGAGGGCTCCACAGGCTGAGTTGATCCATTCAGATTGAGGAATTTAGGGGCATGCCACATTTCCTGCATTCATATGTGTTTGTGTCTTTGCTTTGGGAAAGTTAGCTCAGATCCTTAATCCTTTTATATCTCAATTTCTCCTGTTCTCATTCTAAGGTTCAGACCCACCCCCAATTTACCTGGATGTGGCCATGAATCATAAATATGACACCCCTAAAGAGAGAGGTGATCTCTACTCTCTCAGTTTTAGCAACCAGCCTCAGACCCACGGGGCTTCTGGCATTTCCTCTTGAGCCTTTCCGGGGGTGGGGAGGGGTGATGTGCCAAATCTCTTTCCTCTTTTCCCACCCCCACCCTCCTCATCACCCCTCTGCTGCCTGTGGCTGCCACTGGCTGAGCATCCAACTGGCCCAGGACCAGATAATCAGATTACCTTAGGTCCAGAATAATCTATTCCATATGGTGTGCCAGGTCAGTGGCTCCAAGAGCGGAAGGTGTGAGGAGGAGGCAGGTGGGGGTCTGGTTGGCAGGGCTCCCTTGGGAGCCTCAGGAACCTCGGGGAACCTTATCAGGCAGGGTTGTGGGGTGGTTGATGGGGAATGGGGGAGAAATGGGGAACTCTGCTACTGGGCCTTCTTAGTAGATGTGTCCTGACTCATCTATCTATGACCCAAGGAATGAAGGTCCCAGGGGAGGGGAGGGACTGGCCACTTTAGTGCCTTTTTTGTCTCTGGATTGGGGGTGGTACTTTCGTTATTTTAAAGAGGTTTTCAAAATGTTTATCATTATTGTATGTACAGGGTGTTTGTGTACACACATACACACACACACACACACACACACACACACACACACTTGTAGGCATACCGGTGGCTGTCAAGGACAACTTGTGGGTCCCAAGGATTGAGGATTGGATTCCAGCTGCCTGGCTTGGAAGCAAATAGCTTTCTTTACCTAACACTGAGCCCTCTCATGGTCCTGAGGTTTAATATTCTTGGATTCTCAGATGCTATCCTGCAGAACTTCTGGCCCATGTGGTCCTGCCTGGAAGCCTCTTTCTTCCCATGTCTTCTTGGGGGCTCTGAGATGTGAAGTAAGGTCTGCTGGGGATTTGAGGGTCACAAGAGATTAGGGGTGCAAGGCAGGCGGTTTTGCATAGCACCTTTGATTAACAAGGGTGTGTCAGAGGGGCTGGCCGGGAAATGAGGGCTCTCCCTGCAGAGTGGGTGGGAGTGTGGAGCCCAGGCTCTAGCATGAAGGCTGAGGTTGGACCCTGAGCCTTAAAGATCCCCCTCCCCATCCTGCCTGCCCCCTGCCCGGGCTGAGGCTTGAACTTTCACCTCTGTTTTGGTGGGGTGGTGGCAAGGCCTCATTTCCCAGCTTTACACATTGGCAACCAGGGGAGGCTCGGGCCAGGGGAGCAGAAGCCACTGGCTCTGGCACTTGTCAAAACACAGTCCCCGAAGTGTGAAGGCCTTGGCCCAGCAGGGAGGCTGTATGGGCCAGTGCAGCCTGGAGAACTCATTAACTCAAAGCAGCTCCCAAGAGCCCACTGAAGACAGTGGCCAGATAAGGAGATCAAAGGGGCAGAGGCAAGCAGGAGGCTCTGACTGTCCTTGCCAGCTGGGCCCCTGAAGTTGTTTCCCAGAGAACACAGGGACAACAGGGGGGACAGGGCAGAGAGGGACTCCACGTGGCACTTCAGTGAATTAGTATTAGGACTCAAGACTTTGGGGATGGGGTTGAGACAGGACCTGCCATCTGCCCCGCCTCTCATGAAGTCCTGTGTCTGTCTGCTTCACCACCTCACAGACCCTGGGCCTTTTAAATGTTCCCTCATCACTGACATGGCCACCTTATCCTGCTCCCTCTCCAGTCCCCGATCCCTCCGTGTGCTCAATGTTAACAATTAGGATTCAGATCTGAGGCTTCTTAACAAAGAGTGCCTTCCCCTCACCCCTCCCTTGTCCAAATGTGTCTGGCTAACTTTGTACTTAATAAAATAGACCTCACTTCAAAGTGCTCGCTGTTAACAAGAAGCAATGCCAGTTTGGTCTGGAGCAGGCAGGTAGAGACGTCTCAGAAGCGGATGGGCCGTGCCCTCTGGACCTGGACACCTTTTCATTTTAAACTACAAGCATCTACTGTATTTTCAAACTGAGACCCAAGGCCTTTCAGTGAATTTTCTCAATTTTTGTCTATACTGTAAAATCATGAGCACATGGGGATTGGAGGGTGTTTGGGACACTCAGGTGTTCTCACCCCTCCTGCCTGTGGGGACCAACCGTATCCACCCCCACCCTGCCCCAGCATACAGCACATCCCTAAATGCTTGTTCTAGTGTCAACCAAGAGGCACACTCCTGGAGGTCAAGGTTCTTGTTCAGATGGGGGTGGGCAGGAAGGCATCCATTTGCCACAGCTCAGGAGGGATGGCTCCTGTGGACAGCTGCAGGCAGAGAAGGAACCTTCTGGGACAGGCACATAAACAAGTTCACGGCCTGGGCCTCACTTCTCCATGCCCCAGTGGAGAGGAATACTGCTTCTCGGGGTGTGACTGTGGGCATGAACCTTCTAACAGAAGGCAGAGGGAAGGTTGGAGAAGTGTTTGAGGAGGGGATGGGAGTAGGCAGAGATTCCCAGAGAATCAGGTACCAATCCTCGAGGTCTTCACTGCTACAAACCATCACCCATCTAGAAGACGTGTGGGGCACCTGGGAGATCTGAGGTGCCATTCCTCTGAAGAAGAGATACAGAGGTGATGCCAGACACCAGGTACTTGGTGGCCTGGCTGGAGAAGAGACAACAATCCATAAACTATGTACCAGGTCAACAACATAAACCCAACTCATGCCTGGGGTGCTCGGCAGGCAACTCAGATACTTTGCCTGGTGCATCCTAAGCAAGTACTCTACCAGCCCTACCTTTATTATTTTGAGACAGTCACTAAGGTAGCCATGCTGGCCTTGAACTTATTGGTAGCCTAACAGGGCTTTGTGGGTCTCCTGCCTCAGCCCCTCAAGTCAGCTGATCCCAGATCTGCCCATCGGGCTGAGGGCCTTGGTTCTGAGATATGCCTCACACTCACTATGTAGTTGTTTTTCGGTTTTCTGTGTGTGCGAGCTTCTGCCACATTTTGTATGCTGCACGCACGGTAGTGCCCAGAGGCCAGAAGAGAGCAGTGCCCTGGGACTGTAGTTATGACACCGTGCGGGCGCTGGAAACCAAACCTGGGTCTTCCGGAAGTACTGTTTGCTTGAGACAGGGTCTCTCTGTGTATCCCTGGCTGTCCTGGAACTCACAGACATCCACCTGTCTCTGTTTTCCAAGGACTGGGATTAAAGGTGCATGCCTCCACCACCCTGCTGAGCAGCCAGTACTCTTAACCTCTGAGCCTGGGATCTAGGCCAAAGAGAATTTTGATCTTCTGGTCTTTCTGTCTTTATTCTCCAGCGCTGAAGTGACAAGCCAGTGCCACTCCAGGGTTTCCTGGAGGCTAGGCAAACACTCTACCAACTGAGACACACCCTCTAATAGGTTTTTTGTTTGTTTGTTTGTTTGTTTTTTGAGCTCAGGATAGCTTCAGATGCACTTTGTAGGCAAGGTTGGCCCCAACTCCTCATCTTCATTTTTCAAGTGATAGAATTACAGGCCTGTGTCATATACACAACTTCTTGAGACCGTGGGTAAGCATGTTACATATAAGTAGGGTCTGCTTTTTATTTCTCTTCAACTTTAGTTCCCAACCAAGACCCTCCATCCAGTACTAAACAGGTGTGGTAAGAGCAGACATCCTCAATAGGCAGGCATGGCAGCTCACAACTGCAATTCCAGCATTCAGCTGAGGCAGGAGGATCAGGAGTTAAAGGACAGCTAGGTTATGTATAGTAAGTTCAAGACTAGCCTGGGCTACATGAGACCCTGTGGGGGGGCACTAGAGAGATAGCTCAGCAGCAGAGAAGACCATTTGTTGCTCTTGACGAGGACCCAAGGCAGCTCACAATTGCCTGTAACTCCAGGTCCTGAAGAATGTGACACCTCTGGCCTCTGTGGGCACCAGCTCAGATAGATACATACATAGGTATGTATATATAAAATCTTAGAAACTAACAAGTAGCAGGTAGCATCCTATGAAATAGTGAGATTGCAAGCCTGCCATGGGCAGGGGAAGATTTTTGTTTTGTTTTGTTTTTTTTTTTCTTTTTTGGAGACAGGATTGCATGTAGCCCAAGTTAGCCTAGGCTACATATAGCTAGGACTGACCCTGACCCTCCTGCCCCCACCTCCGGAGTGTGTCACCACACCCAGCTCAGGGCTGTTGAGTTTTGTCAAACACTAGTCACAGGAGAGCTGGGAAAATGCATCAAGCCCTTCATCTTGCCAAGACTAGGAATGACTTGTAGGGTAGGGCAGCAGGCCTTCCTATTCCCCCTGCTCAGACAACCCAGCAACCTCAATAGTTGGGATAGTTTCTTCATTGTGCCTCCCACAGCCTGAACATCAAGGAGGAGCTACAGGCCACCACCAAGCTTCTGAGGAGAAATGGGCTACAGTTCTCTCCATGTCTAGAGGTTCCTACCCTAGTCCACAATCGGCTGGGAAAAAAAAAAAATTGTGTAGGGTTCCTAATATATGAAGACATACCCTAAACCTAGGAGCTGGACTTCAGTTCTCTGAGCACGGTTCTTTCAACTTGCAGGACTTGTTCAACGCCCTGGGCACCACAAGTCATAGGTGCCTGTCTTTGTGAGGCCCCAAATATGGCCCAGGTAAGGTAGCCTGAACCAAGATCCTGCACCTTAGAGTGCCTGCTCTTGGTTCAAAGGGTCAGGCCCTGCCCCCACTCCTGGCCCGAGCCGGCTTTGATGTGCTGAGTTCTGGAAGGGGCCACTTCACACCTTGGGCTCGGGATAAAGCGGCAGCGGGACCACTGGACAGGCCTCCGCTGCCATGGCCCAGCCCCTGTGCGCGCCGCTCGCCCAGTCCTGGATCCCGGGTCCCGCTCGTCGGCCCCCGCTGATGCCTTCCGACGGGGACAGCGTCTGCTCCCCGGCCTGGTCCTCGGACCCGTGGGACGGAGCCCAGGCCGGCAGCCCCGCACCATCGTGCGCCCGCCCGGCCCGGCGCGCTGGGATCCCGGGTAGGCGAGGCTCGCACGGCAGCCGCCTGGGTAGCGGGCAGCGGCAGAGCGCCAGCGAGCGCGAGAAGCTGCGCATGCGCACGCTCGCCCGCGCGCTGCACGAGCTGCGCCGCTTCCTGCCGCCGTCCGTGGCACCAACCGGCCAGAGCCTGACCAAGATCGAGACGCTGCGCCTGGCCATCCGCTACATCGGACACCTGTCGGCCGTGCTGGGCCTCAGCGAGGACAGTCTGCGGCGACAGCGGCACGCGGACGCGGCGTCACCCCGTGCCTGCCCGCTTTGCCCGGACGGCGGCCCGGCTCAGGCGCAGGCGCAGCCGCTCGGTCTGCATCTCAGGCCGGCTGCCTGCAGCGGGGTGTCGTGGGGGTCCCCGCCCGCCTGCCCGCGACCCCGAGACATCGCAGAGCCCTGGGACCCATCGTTCCCGTACGCCGGGACAGACACAACATCCTTGGAAAGGCAGGAGATGGAACCCAGCCCCTCGCCTCCGGTTAGTAGCCGCTTCCCCGCGCCGTCTGGGTGGCGCCCCCTGCTGTTGGCGGCGGTGCACAGCACCACGGTGCGGAGCTCACGCGATCTCCCTAGACAGCACCCCCGCGTTCCCTGGGTGCCCAATCGGGGTGGGAGGCGGGGGACCGGCAGGGATTAAAGTTGCTTTGCTCGCTCGAGGAACCTGGAGCGTGGAGCAGATGAGCGCGGACCTGGCACTGGGGCAGGTGTTGACTTCGGCGCTGTTCATTCTTTCCGCAGCTCTTCAGCAGCGATGTGCTGGCTCTGCTAGAAACCTGGACGCCGCAAGAGTGGCCTCCAGCTTGAACGATCGAAGGGACAATGGATGACTGACACCCCGTCTGAGCACAGTGACTTTTTCTCTTGCCTCCGCACCTTCGAAGCGAGTATTTCCTGGAAGAGGCAGGCACCAGCGATACCAACGTGGGCACGCCCTGCTTGGGAGGAGGGACCCATAGGGTAAACGCTGTAAAACTGAAGCAGGCACGATACTCTGCTTGGTGTGTATTTATTTATTTGTGAATAAACCGTTTGTGCTGGTGTCGTTTGGTGTTTGTGTGTCCCGTCCGTCCCCGGTCCCGTGTCGTTGCCCCTCCCTCAATTGTCAACATCTATCTGTGGGTCCGTCTGGAAGGAGTGGAGTGGGGCTTCGTGCTCTCAGGTGGCAGGAAGTAGTTCATCTTTTTTGAACTTAGGGAGAAACTGGATGAAACCAGAATACTTATGTAGGAAATGCAACTCCGTCAGTGTCTTTTGTGCCTTCCTTGCCTTTACGTAGATTTTACAAAAGCATAAAGGTCAAGACTCAGGCATAGGACTCGGGCATTGGAGCGGTCAGCCAGGGAGGATAGCGCCCTGTCTATTCATTCTGGGCAGCTGGGGTGTGTGTGTGTGTGGGAAGACTTATCCCAGCAGCGCTAGAGCTCTGTCCCATGTGGCCGGGAGATAGACATGACTTCAGTAGGGGAGTTTTCCTTGGAGGCCTGGTTAGGGTGAAGTGAAGGACTTGTTGATTGCTGACCTGTGCTGGTGAAAATCAGACCAGAAATAAGCAGCCGAGAAGAGAGGGCACCTGGAGCTCGTGGAGAGAGACTGGCATCAACCCACAGGGGAGGAAGGGTTCACGCTCAGGGGCAACAGCTCTCTTTCCCCCTCAACTGTCAGAAATTTGGACCTCAGCATTTGTTTTATTTTTTTTAAATAAGCATTTTATTGAGATATATCACAAAAGTCAGATTTTTTAAGTTTTTGTTTTGTTTTGAGATAGAGTATCATTCAGCCAAGGGTGGCCTTTAACTCCTTGACCCTCCTGCCCTCACCTCACAGGAGTGCTGTGGTGACAGATGTGTGCCACCACAAGAGGCTTTAAAAAGTACAAGTCGAGGGTTTGGGCATATGCATAGAGTTGTGCAACCATTCTCACCAATTTTAGAGAATATTTTTTTATCACCTCCAAAAGGAAGCTACTGGCCAGATGTGGTGGCACACATCCTTGATCCCAGCACTCAGGCGGCAAAGGCTAGGATAACAGTGAGAACTGTCTCAAAAAAGACTAAGAAAGCAGCAGCAGCTACTCATTAACCCCTCTACCCATTAGCCCCACCCACTCCTCACTAGCCAGCCCCCTGCAGTAACACTTTTTATCTCTAATGAAATTTATCTGCTGTAAACATTTCTCATGTATGTATGTATGTATGTATGTATGTATGTATGTATGTATGTATATGAAATATACAGGCTGGGCACAGGCCTTTAATCCCAGCACTTTGGAAGGCTAAGGCAGGCAGGTCTCTGGTCTACATAGTGAGTTCCAGACCATCCAGGGCTAGAGAGTCTGTCTCAAAAAACAAAAACAAACAAGCAGAAAGGACATAGAGTGTGTTTTTGTGTGTGTGGCTTTTTTCTGAGTATGTTTTAAGGCTCACCTAGATTGGGGCATGATGATGAGCTTCATCCCTTATTACCCAACACCACCTCCTTCATAGGCTCATTCACCATCATCCATTCGGGTTTGTTTCAAATCACCTGGGGGATCTTTTCCAGAACTCTGGCTCAGGCCAGGAGGGGAGGTCATGCTGAAGGGGGGGGTCCTATTCTGCAGCGTTGGGGTCCAGGCCTGAGCAGTTCATACAATAGCTGGTGTTTGGCTGCAGAGAGAGTGACCCAGAGGAGATTGCCAGGGGGTGGGGGATCTCACACCTTCACTGGCCCCTCCCTTTTCCAATACTTCTAACCCCCTTTGACACTCTCCTCCCAGTACCTTAACTGCTTCAGGACAGGAAGAGTCTTCCTGGTCCCGGAGCCAACCCACTGAGGAAAATCTATTTGCAAAGTAAAGGCCCAGTGTTTTAGGATGGGGAATTAAAGTTATTAGCAAGTCTTTTCACAGCTAAGTGGAGCTCATTGGCCAGCCCCTTTCCCTGCAGAGGGCCTCTCCTCTGAGGGGCCTGGGAGCAGCCCACTGTTTATTAGCACCTGGGTGTGAATTTTCATTAACAGGTCCCTGCTAATAGTGGCTGGGACACAGGATTGTCAGATAGAAAAGGGTCGCCTCCCACTGCTCCCAGGTCCCATCCCCCCTTCCTGGCCCAATCAGCACCTGGAGCAGACTCCCAAGTGAAGACAGCAGTAGCCCTGACCCAGGAGGGCACCCCCAAGCCTGTCACCCCGGTTCTCAGCCAACCTCAGAGGTATCCCAATCACAGACCCTACAGATGCCAGCTGTCTGCACTGGGATTGACTCCAGGGCCTGCTTGGGTGCTAGACGGCATCTCAATTGCTTGAGTCCTCTGCAGAGTCTGGAGAGGTCGAGACTGAGAAGCTGGGCTGGAGCACAAGCACACAGGCTCCGAGCCAGGGCTGTCCACTCTGAACCCCCTGGCCCCAGCTGCCTTCCTTCCAGTGGGGGAGGTGCTTTCCTCATCTGACTTGGTTGGTAGAACCTGGGTGGCAGAGGACCAGTGAAGGACCAGCGACTGCAGAACAGCTGTGGCTGGTCCAACTGAGTGCCCATTGACCCAGACAATGCCTTGTTAAGTCCCTGTAGCTGCAGAGTCCCTGTGAGAAGGGTGTGGTGCCTGCTGCTGCCTGTCCGGTGTGGATCAGGGGGCAGAAGCACAAAGAAACAAGATGCGTTGTTGCCTACCATGAGGCTACTGGGGGCCTGGACAACCACACAGCTGGTCAACAGACCCAGTGGCACACTAGCACTGCACAAACGGGCCACATAACATAAACTCCTAGGGCATCCTGGCCGGGACTGTGGACAGCTGGACTAAGTGGGTGCTGATAAGCCAGTGTTTTAAGGAGCAGCAGTCAAGCTGATGGTTTAATAGTCAAGCCAGGAGAGATGGCTCAGTGGTTAAGAGCACTGGCTGCTCTTTCAGAGAACCTGGGTTCGATTCCCAGTACCCACATGGGAACTCACAACTGTCACCTCAGTCACAGTCTATAACTAGAATCTGACACCCTCTTCTGGCCCCTGCTGGTACCAGGCCAGACAAACACTCAGGTTACACAGGAAGAACAAAAATTAGTATTTAAGCCATTGTTATCTGAGGACATAAGAGGGCTGCCATCTGAAGGCAGGGCAGAGGAAAGGGGGTGGCGGCCGACAGTGTCCTCATCAGCAGATGATGGATGGTTCCTGAGCAGGCTGCAGGGATGGCTTAGCATCAGATAGAAGAGAAATGAGGTTGACGAGGCCCTCGGACTAGCTGCGTGTGGTGAGATCATGGGCTTTCTGGCCACACATGGGAAATAAAGTCCATCTACGTGGGTGAGACCAGAGAACCGGAGGGTCAGCCTCATCTAACCATAAAGTTTGGTTTGTTCACTGGGCCAGACCTGATGGCTTTATCTACACCTTCCCTCTGGTGCTGGCCACACTGAAGTTCTGTACCAGTGTGCTGTGTGCATCACCTGAGCCCTGCTCTCCTCTTCATGTTCCCTGGGCCTCTGTGAACCCCCGGGAAAAGCCTCTCTTGGAACCACTGGCTTCCTCCTCAGTGGATGGCACAGTGGAGCCTAGCTAATGCCTTGAGCCCTCATGGCCTGGAGGGGGCTTTGCCAGGTCTGGCTCCTTCTTGCTGGTTCTCTTTATGGAAGCCACACCTAAGTGCTTGGAATTTCAGGTTTCCTGTTCCCTTCTACACAGGGATAAAGAGGGCCTGTGTCACCGGCAGACATGACAGAGTCGTCATAACTGCCAGGACACCTTTCATTCACCTTTCCTCACCTAGCTCTCCCCACCCCCTTGACAGTTTGAAGTTTGGGGGAACAGACCTCCATTGTCCCTCCAGGGATAGACATGCACCACAGACCTGTGTCACCTACATCCTCATATGACCACATTGGGCCAGCCAGAGGCAGGCTTCGGACTCTGCTAGAGCCTGAGGAAAGGGACATGAGCTGTGTGTTCTGTGTGCATCCCTCCCCGGGCTATTCTTGTGCCCTGGGTGTCACGGATGCTGTTTGTGCCTGGGTACTGTGTGTGTCATGGTGTTCACTCCAGCTGAGAGCCTAGCTGAAAGGGGCTAGGACTGAGGGAGATGTGGGGAATTCACAATTCACTTTGCCTCCACACTGTTCCTGGGGCTCCGGAAGTGTTACTCACTCGGGCTAGGTATCTGGCTGGTAGGAAGGTTGATCAGGCTGTTGGAGATTGTTCCAACCAGTGTAATCTGGGGCTGCACTCCCCTCTAAGTCAAGGGCTCTGAGCACTGGGGAGCTGTGCTAGGTCAAGGCTGAAGTTCCAAGGCTCCTGCTTCATCTCAAGGAAGAGAGGGAGGGAGGGAAGGAGAAGGGGGATGGGAAAGAGTAAGGAGGGAGGGAAGGGGAAAAGGAGAGAAGGGATGGAGAGGGGAAGGATGGGGAGGGAAGGAGAGAGGGAGGGGGAGGGGAGAGAGAGAGGAATAGGCAGGAGAGGGAGGGAAGGGAAGGAAGGAGGAAAGAAAAGAAGGAAGAGGAGGGAGGGAGGGACAGTCGACGTGGGTGGGGGGCGGGGTTGGGGTTGTGTGGTGAGTTCTCATTCCCATTGAGAGATAGCACAGTGTTATCCGGGGACTTTCGGATGGTCGATGTTAGTGCCAGCCAGGGCAAAGCATGTGGCCCAGGAGAGGAGGTGGATGCGGGTATCACAAAGCAGCAGCACAGATCTACAAGGTCGGTCGAGACCCAGAAGGGACCGACCCCTGAGTTAGCCTAGGGCCAGGCTGGGAGGTAGCCTTCTGCAGTTCTCAACATGACCACATGGTGTCCTCAGAGAAACAGACACTTCCCTGAGCAGCAGTTCCCCAGGATACCCAGCCTCCTCTAGCGGTCTGATCCGCCTATGAGGCTGCCTCCCAAGTCTGTGCGGCCTAAGGTTATCCCACCACTCGCCTCCACTCTTCTGGCCCTCCTTCATTTTCTTTCTTCTGGGGCACCTAAGCCAGGGCATTGGCCATGCTAAATACACACTTTCCCACTGTGCCACACACCAGCCCTTCAAAGAGATTGTGTGAAGAACTGCTTCGTGAGTGTGTGGGAAGAAAAGGGGCCGCAGGGTGGCTGGCAGGCTGGCTGGCTGTCTTACTTCAGGAAGTGGCTCTCCTAGGCTAGTGTCCTTAGTAGACTTGGGGGATCTAGAGCTGGCCCGGCTGGAGTCAGGGTGGGTCGCACACAGCAGCTGCCAGTCTGTTTATTTGAGTGACATATCTAACCTCCATGGGCATTTAGTACTTGAGGGTCCCCACTGGCTCCGTGGACGTGCCAAGCGTTGAGTGTGGCTCTGTTGCTGTCTTTCTGCCTTCCAGTGTCCTGGGGAGTGGCTGTTGAGGCGGACACTCCTTCAGAGTCCCAGGGTGATCACTTCTTCCAGTTTTCTTTCTGGAGAATAATGGAGTACTTCCGCAGCCGTGTCCACTGCTCACGCCCTTTCATCTGGGACTTTGCCAGCTTTTGGAAACTGAGGGCCACAACAACCAACAATGAGAGCTGTCACCCCAGCCACCGGGTCCCCTGGTGCCCTGGCTGTCCCTGAGCATGCAGGTGGGAAACTCTTGGAAGATGGCACATGCCTGACATCAGCAGGCACCCGGAAGCCCTTTCCGGGAGCAGCAGGCCTGCCGCCCTAGGGCACAAGCACATGGAGGAGAGTACCAACAAGACACCCAAGGGAATGGCTCCGCCTTCTAAAGGAAGGCGGTCACACCTGCTACACACAGCAGGGCAACATTTAGTGACAGAAGCCAGTTCTAAAGCAGAAACTGTGACTCACGTCTACAGACATCTGATGTCTGAGGTCGGCTTTTAAAAAGGAGAATCCAGGGCCTGGAGAGATGGCTCAGAGGTTATGTGCGTTTACTGCTCTTACAGAGGACCCAGGTCTGGCTCCCAGAACCATAGAAAAGCTCACAATCACCTACAGCGCCAGTTCCGGGAACCTGGCCACCCACAGACACTTGTATGCATGCAGCACACAGACAAGAACACACACACATACACATAACTTTCAAAGCTTTCTTTTTAAAGAGAGCTGATAGGAAACAAACATCAAGGCCTGGGGATTTGGCTCAGCAGCAGAGCACCTGCCTAGTATTCCCAAGGCCCTTGTTCCCATACCCCTCAAAACAAACAAACAAACAAACAAACTGTGGTTGGAGGGATGGCTCAGAGGTTAAGAGCATCCTCTGCTCTTCCAGAGGTCCTGAGTTCAATGCCCAGAAACCATATGGTGGCTCACAACCATCTGTAATGAGATCTGGTGCCCTCTTCTGGCCTGCAGGCATACATGCAAGCAGAACACATAAGAATAAAATCTTAAGAAACAAACAAAATTTAAAAACCAAATACATACATTTGGTTGTCCTGGAACAGCTATGTAGACCAGGCTGACTTTGAACTCAGAGATTCACCTGCTTCTGCCTCCTGAGTCCTGGGGTTCAGGTTTGTGCCACCATGACTGCTCTAGGAATAGTTTTTGAAAAGATATATACAACGAATGAATGTTCAGCGCTCCTCGTTGGCTTTCTCTCTGTACCTGGCGACAGATAGAGACTGTCCTTTGTTTTGTTTTTTAAATTAAATTTTATTGCTTTCAAGACAGGGTCTCTGTGTAGTCCTGGCTGCCCCGGAACTCACTAGAAACCAGCTGGCCTTGAACTCAGAGATCTGTCTGCCTCTGCCTGGAATAAAATCCCGTTTTTAAAGGTCTCTAATATTAGCCATAGTAACCACCCCTAGGTGCCAGAGTTGGCCTCCCACACTCCACCTCCTGACTCAGGTCCACAGCCACACTTCAGAACCAGCTGGCTATGGAAAATCTTTTCTAAGGTCAGTGGCCAACCCCAAAGGAGACAGGAGACAAACCTGGCTCTATGACACTTGGTTTCTCCAAAGACAAAAGAGGAAAATTTACATGGTATGCATGTATATATTTGTATTTTTTTTCCAGAAAGGATCTTTCTATGTAGCACTGTCTGGGCTGACACTTGCTGTGTAAACTGGTTAACCTCACCTGCCTCTGTCCCCTGAGTGCTGACACTAAAAACATGTGCCATCATTCCTGGTTGACAAAGAACTTTGTGTGTGTGTGTGTGACAAGGAACTCTTAAAACTGACAGGCAAAATTGAAAAGCTGCAGGGCAAGTTTTACAACAGATTAAAGCCATGCAGACTACACTCCATGGATTTCTAACTCTGTTTCTATAGTCTGGGAAAGAGAAAGGACAGGAGAGGGAATAGGGACTCAGATGTGCCTGTACCAAACCCTAAACTTTTACCTCCGAGAAGCTGGCCTGCAGGAAGCCTAGGCCACTTAGCCAAGGAGCTTGCAGGCACCTTGTGGTGTGCGGGCTGCTCTCCCAGGAGCCCACTGGGCTCTGGTCAGGAGCTAAGAAGACAGTTGCTTGTTTGTTTGCTCATACAGGAACATACTGATATTATCTCCCGTCAAGGACAAGCCTGTGCCAGGAAGAGAGGGGAAGCCAGGCAGCTGCCACCACATGGAAAGGAAGATGTCCAAGGAAGCAAGTTTGGGGAAGAAGGTGCTCTGGGGCTCTAGGCTGAGGAGCAGCCCTCAGCCTGGAGTATGAGTAGGCTTCCATGTTTCTGAGTCAGGAATCATGTAGAGGGGTCGGGGTGATTTCAGGGACCCAGAGAAGGCAGCAAGGGACAACTAAGGCAGAAACTATGGGAGACAGTGTCATCCAAAGTAGAAGCAGCTGGGTCAGCCCAGAGTGGCACTGCCGCTATTTGGTGATGAGGAAGAAGGGGGAAGCAGATTGTTCATTCAAGTCTGGTGCTACCTGGCAAGAGAACCCCAAAGGCCCTCCAGGAAGGAACATCCTTTCCTCTCCATCACCCACACACAGGGGGCCTCTCCTCATGGTGGCAGAGAACTCATTGGTTTGGGGCAAGACATGGCAGCAAGTGGTTTAGATTGAAGCATCCCCCAAAGGCTCAGGTGTTAAAAGCTTGGCACCCAGCTAGTCTGCTACTAAGAGGTGACCAGATCACAGGGAACTAATTCAGCTTGACTGCCAAGAACAGTGGTCTGCCAGGAGGACAGCATGATCTGTGTGATCTCAGGCCCCAGTGGCAGGCTGTGTTCATGCAGGCTGTTTGCAGAAGTCCCTCTGCAGCTCTGTGAAAGCGATCTGGAGAAACTATTGCAAGTCTGAGATTTTAAATCTATTACCATGTGGGCCCTCACTGGTTCACCTAGTTGTGGTTGTTAATGATTTATTATATGAGTGTTCTGCCTGCATGTATGTATGTACACCACATGTGTGCCTGGTGCCACAGAGACCAGAAGACGGCAGCAGATACCCTGGAACTGGAGTTACAGGCATTTGTGAGCTGCCATATGGGGACTGGGAACCAAACTTGGGCCTTCTGGAAGAGCAATAATGCTCTTAACCCCTGAGCCATCTCTCCAGCCCCTGCTTCATCTAGTTTTGGAATGAATGACAATTAACTTCAGATATAACGAATAAGCAGAAAAGGCAATAGGAGACAAAAGCTCTGGGTATGTGTTCATGTGTACATATATATGTACTTGTGCATATGTGTACCTTTGTGTGTGTATTCGTGTGTGTGTGTGTGTGTGTGAACATGCACACACATGTGTGCAGACATGAGCTGACAGCTAGGGACAGGATAAAGGTATGAACATGCATGTGCTCCAGGATGCAGCATGTCTGTGAGCATTGTGGGGTTACTCTCTGGAGCCCGGGATGTTATGCCTCAGAGCAAGCAAAACAGGTTGCCCGAAGTATGTGACTTAGATACCGCACTCAGAGCCCTGTAAATGCTCCTGCAAGTCTGTCCCTCAGATAAGTGGGGAGCTGGCCTGCCACCAAGCAAATTGTCCCCTCCAGCTCCCAGAGGCTCTTCAGAGTTCTCACTCCTGTCAGGCCCAGGCCCCAATGGGCCACGATGCCATGTTGGTCCACTCTGCTGACAGCAGCCCTTTTCTCTGTAAAAGGGCCATGGGCATTCAGCCTCTGCACTCCAGCCAGCTGCTGGGCCCTTTCCAGGGAGAGGTTGGGCTGGAACCCAGGAGCTAACTTTGCTGAAAGGCAGGGAGGCAGGAATGAAGAGACCCTTCCGTTCCTGCTGGGGTTCAGGATGGTTTCAGGGTTCCAAAAATAGGGACACTAGGTCAGAAAGTATGGTCTTCCCCCTTCTCCAAGCAGACCAACCACAGAGGCAGGAAGGAAGTCACCCACATCCATCCATGGAAAGTTAGTCACAGAAACCACACTTACAAATGCTGTGGCTTGGATGTCGAGTGGCCCTAAAGTCCCATGTGCTGTAGGCTTGGTCCCCAGTGTGATGCTGTTGGGAAGTGGTGGGCTGAGTGGGAGGTTAGGTTACTGGGGATGTGCCTGAGAGGGGATTGTGGACCCCAGCCCTCTCCTCCTCCTTTGCCTGGAGTGTCATGGAGTAAGTACAGTCTTGTCCTGCCCCACGATCCCCACTGTAACATGCTGCCTCACCACAATAAGGTCCAATGGCCATGGACTGAAATCTATAAAACTGCAAGCCAAAGTAAACCTTTTCTACTTACAAGTTAATCATCTCAGGAATCTTATTGCTGGGCCAGGAAGTTGGCAGCACAATAAAGTTATCTCTGGAAACTAGGGGCCATCGAGAGAGGTCCATCTGTAAAGTGCTTGCTGTGTCACCATGGCAGTGAAAGCCTCAACAAACAAACAAACAAACAAACAAACAAACAAGCAGTGCTGGAGAGAAGGCTCACTGGTTAAGAGCAAGCATTCCCAGCGCCCACATCAGTCCACTCACAACTGCTCCAGCTCCAAGGGACCCATCGCCTCTGGTCTCCTAGGGCACCTGAAATCACTCGTACACACCCACACACAGATACACATTAGTACAATAACCCCCTCCCCCGGAAAAACCAAAACAACCAAACAGAAACGCCCAGGGTGAACGGTACCTATAGAGTAAGGCGGAGTAACACCTCTGGTGCTGGCTTCTGTAGGCATCACACATGTGTGCATGCATGTTCTTATATGAATATACATATATATGCACACACTCACACAAAGTTACATTCGGGAGCAACATAAACTCAGATAAGAGAGTGAGCATGAAACACGATCTTAATTTGACGAAAATGTCACTTGGAGTGACCAGGGGGTATCAGCAGTGGTACTGATAATTTGGGGTTGCACATTCATGTTTTCTAAAGTTCTACAATTTTGTGTGCGTGCATGCATATGTGCGCATGCGCGCGCGCGCGCACACACACACACACACACACACACACACACACACACTTCTCTGTGTCTTTACAGTGGGCTTCCCTAAGTAGCCCAGTGTGACCTGAGGTCCCCACATTTCTGCTTCAGCTCCTCAAGTGCCGAGGTTCCAGGCCTGCGCCACCATGTCTGGCTTCTGAGTTCATTCTCACAACAGTGGGAATTGACTGTTATTAATCAGTAGTTCTATTTCAGAAGTAACATTCTTGGGCTACAGTTGGGTTCAGCAGATGTCGGTGACAAGATCACTTGGCAGTCTGTGGCCCCAGGGTAGTGAGTTACTCAGACTGCAGCTGTGACTCTGGGTCTACTCCCACAGGTGGGTGTCCACTGACCTTTGGGTGAAGTGGGAAATGTCACCCTTTCTAATAAATAAAGGAAGGAGATGGGTTGAGAAGAGGCAGAGATGGAAGGAAGCAAGCTCATCAAACTGGGAGTTAATTCACAGAGCACCCAACTACTCCAGGAGCACTAGAAAGCTCCAGGCCACGGCCTTGGGCAAGCACCTCCCCACAGCCATAGCCTATTCTCACACTTGAGACTTCCATTCCCTGTTGTTTTCAGTCTGTTTGCCAAAGCAATGGAGGATTTTTGTAGAAAAGTTACAGATAGAGAAAGTGAAGAAAACCAACACACATGCTCACCGTCCCACGGTAATCAATGTTCCTTCAAATACACATTCCCGGTCTTCCTGACTCAAAACCAATCATAGTTCCTCACCTCTTCCTGTCTTTCCCTTTGGAAAACTTCCAAACCTGTTACAAGGGTACAAAGAGCACAATGCCCCTTCACCCGCACTCACCGTCCTTAGCTGTCGCTCCCTTGCACTCTATGAACATTTCCCCAGATTTCACCATCTCTTACCATTTTTCCCTTTGTCTCTATAAATACTTTCCTGGATCGTTTGGAAATACGATGCAGACATCATGAGCCTTTCCCCTAAATTTATCTAAAGAGCAGGTCCCCAGGGTCCAGAATGAGAGAGCTCCTGAGCACAACTGCCAAACCTCTGACCCGGGCAGTGTTGACAAACAGCTCCCTCTTCCAAGAACTGAGACCACGTTTCTTTCTTGATCAAGTGGCCTACTTCCTTCCAGGAGATACTGAGAGCCACTTATGCCACTCAGCACATGGTAGGAAGGTCGATGCAGGTAAGAGGCTGGAGTGCAGCTCAGGGATGGTAACTAGCCTCTCAGGCAAAGGCCCTCTATTCTTTTCTAGAAAAGGACCTTGGAAGGAAAGTGTAGAAGGTGCTCTATGTGAGAGGGCATGGGAGCTGTGCTGCCACCTAGTGGTCATATTCAGGATTTTCCCAGGCACTCTATTTTTTAAAATTCTTTTAGATTTATGTTATGTTTGAGTGTTTTGCCAGCATATTTGTGGGTGCACTACATACAGTAGTACCCTCAGAGGGCAGAAGATTATGTCAAAGTCTCTGGAACTGGGGTTACAGGCAGTTGTGAGCCACCATGTGGGTGCTGGAAATCAAACCTTAGTCCTTTGCAAGAGCCACAAGAGCTTTCAACATCAGAAATCATCTCTCCAGACCTGAGGCATTCTGGTTTTAACAGATTGGCACATTATAACTACTATTTACGGAGGAAACAACCTGTGGTGGTTTAAAATGGCCCCCACAGGTTCATCTATTTGAATGCTTGGTCACCTGGTAGTGACATCTTCTGAAGGGATTAGAAAGATTAGGAGGTGTGGCCTTGTTGGAAGAAGTGTGCCAGCTGGGGGTAGGATTTGCAAACAAGTCTTCTTGGTAGCAGCATTTTTCTTGGTTGGGATCTGTTTTGCTACAGACCAGCAGAGCCATTGCTCCTTTAAGGGAGGTTTCCTTACTCAGCATAAGCAGAAAAAACTGCAGGGCTCTTTTAAGAGGCCTCGCTAACAATTCAGTGATGTATACCAGCAGCTGGCAGTGGCAGTGACCACATTTAAGTCTAAGGACAGGATATGGGGAAAAGACTTCCTACTTTTGTTTCCACAGAAAATGAAAACCAGGCTAATGTGGTTTGATCAAGCAAGACCCCTGAAGCAGTGTCCCAGGTGATCCAACATTCAAAACAGCTGGGACAAAGCAGCCTTGCAGATTACAGCCAGGATTTCTACAGCTTCTTAGGATTCCCATGGTATTACAGCACCCCCAACCAGCAGGAAGCAGTTTGGAAAGAATGACGCCCAAATTCCCAAATATTGTCTATAAATGTTTGTTTTTATTTAAATGGGGTTGGTTATAAATGGTTGATGATCACAACCAATCTCTTTTAAAGGTAAAAAAGGGATTATGGTATAGAAATGAATAATTTGTTTTGGAATGGATTTTCATTTATCGATACAAATTTAAGGTCAATTTTGTGATATGTATATTTCTCCTCTTGTTTAAGTATTGTGTTTATATAGCCAAATTTTAAAATGTAATGAATAATTAAGTACAAATTACAGGTAGTTACCTATAATAGTCAAAACTTATAGTTAGGTTTGTTGGACATATATATATATATATATATATATATATATATATATATATATATATTTCAAAAGGAGAGGCATTCTTAAAACCTTTCAAAGACCTACAGAATATGGCATTTAAAATGGTTTAGGGTTTCTCTTGACAGTGAGACATAACTGCTCCTGACAACACCACCTGCATCAGAAAGAAAGATGGACATCGAAGAAACTCGTTATGGAGTTTGTTTCCAATATGGCATGACTAGTCATTTGGGCAAGATATTGCTCTTGTCTGGACTGTTTGACTTTATGCTGTATAAACTGAACATTCAGGACCCACAGAAAAGTGACTGATGAACCAAGATGGACAGTGCTACAGAGTTCCTGCTTCATGAAAGAGTTTGCCAGACAGTCTGCAGGACTCAGAGAAAAGTGACTGACAAACTGACAATACATGTGGACAGTTTAAGTTTTCCTGCTCTGCTGAGAAGTCTGCCAGACACAGTAGGCTGAAGATGGATGTGCCTATTTACAGAAGAACTTTGGATGACTGTCCAGGTAGAGTTGTCTCCGTCATTTCTAGAGTTTATATATTATCCTTCTGTGGTCTTTGATGGATTGAAGACAGATTGTTATGGTTATAGTTTTCCTTAGTTAGGATTAAAGATAAGTTCCATATAAGACTTTAGACTCACAAAGATAGGATAAATGATGGCATATTTTCTTTAAATCTTGCTAAATGTTAATGGACTAAATATTGTTAACTATAGTTCTTATTTGATAACTGTTTTGTTATACATTTTACTATGTTAAAGTTAAAACCCTTCTTTTTATTTTATACAGAAAAGAGATGATGGGAGATGTCATTCTGTAAATATGTTTCTCTTATTGGTTAATGAATAAAGCACTGTTGGCCAATAGGAAGGCAAGACAGGTGGGACTAGGATAGGTGGAGGATTCTGGGAAATGTAGTAGAGTCGAGATGTGATCTTGGGAAGAGAGGACTCGAGTTTGGTGATCTTGGTAAAATAAGACCATGTAGAAATAAATATATTAGTGATTATGGGTTAATATTTAAGACAGAGCTAGCCAAGAAGACATTCTAGCCATTGGCCAACAGCTTTATAACTAATAGAGTCTTTGTGTATTTTGGGGCTGACTCAGCTCCAGGCACCAGGCTTTTGGGAAAGTACGTGTAACACACACTGGGCCCAACCTCTCTCTCTCTGTCTCTATCTCTGTCTCTCTCCCTCTCTTTTTCTCCCTTCCTCCCTCTCTCCCTCCCCCCCTTCTCAGATCAAGATACAGCTCTCAGCTACTTCTCTTACCATACCTTCCCACCAAATTCTTCCCTATAATAATAACGGACTTAGCCTCTGAAACTGTAAGCAAACCCCCTGTTAAATGCTTCCCTTTATAAGAGTTGCCCTGGTCTTGGTATCTCTTCACAGCAGAACAGTGACTAGGACACAGCCCTTCTGGCATTCTGTATGCACTGTCTCACCTGCAAGCCCCAGAAGTCAGGCCTAATCAGAATGTCCACACCATGACCTGGCAAGTGGCAGGTAGGTGAGCATGGAGACAGGCTCTGAAAGTTAACCAGCCAGGTCCTATGGTTAACAATTGGGAGAGTCAGAATTCAAACCCAGGTCTGTCAGCCACTACCTCTATAACTCGGTCATTGTACTTCCTGGGGGAGAGATCTAAATAAAGAAAGGGGAGATGGCCTGATGGACTTGACGGGCACTGCACTGCCTGCATCACACTGCCTGCCTGTGTCACACTGCCTGTACCACACTGCCTGCCTGCATCACACTGCCTGTGTCACACTGCCTGCCTGCATCACACTGCCTGCATCACACTGCCTGTGTCACACTGCCTGCCTGCATCACACTGCCTGCATCACACTGCCTGTGTCACACTGCCTGCCTGTGTCACACTGCCTGTACCACACTGCCTGCCTGCATCACACTGCCTGCATCACACTGCCTGCCTGCATCACACTGCCTGCCTGCATCACACTGCCTGTCTGCATCACACTGCCTGTGTCACACTGCCTGCCTATGTCACACTGCCTGTACCACACTGCCTGCCTGCATCACACTGCCTGCATTACACTGCCTGCATGTTCTGTGCACTATGTGCATGCTTGGGACCAGTGGAGGCTAGAAGAAGGTGTCAAATCTCTGGAACTCCAGTTCCAGGATGGTTGTGAGCTACCAGAAAAGTGATGGGAATAGAACCTGGGTCCTCTGGAAGAGCAGCCACTTCTTTTGAAGAGCAGGGTCTCTTTCTGGCCTAGAGCTCACAGAGTAGGATGGGTTGGCTCACATGGAAAAAAAACCCTTCATTTAGTAGTAATTAAGTATGGAAAGGCTCTTAACCACAAACCACACTCAGTGATGGCTCATCAGCCACAGCCCCATAGCTGGGCGGGGTCTTACCTCTTCTGTAGGAACTGCTCGCATCTTTTCTCCAGTGGTAACACCTGGGAGAAGGCCTGGTTACATTCCAAGTCCTTTTGAGAAATGGTGCAATTTTTGGAGATATCTTTCAGGAGGGGATATTCCTCAAAATTAAAACAGAACACAGAATCTGGGGTGTCCTTGGCATCGTCGGTAGGTGTGGTGTTACCATCTGGACGCATTACTGTGAGGAAGGAGACGGCTGCTCAGTGTAATTGCTTTCTCTGTGGGGTTAGTTAGGGTCCTCAGGGTGTGGGTCTTCACACTGTTATCTGTGTGTGGAGGTGGCTTGCCTGGCTTAAGTTGGGAGGAATTCCTTAATCATGCAGAACAAAGACCTTGCCAACGTTTTTTATCAAAGACCATTGTGGGAACCAGGCCTCAGCCTCCTTTGGCCTGGGGCAGAGGGGACTAGGGAGATGACTGAGGAATGAGGCCCAGCTTTTGTGAGAGGTCAGGAAAACTCAGGGAAGAGTGTGGCAGGCCCCAGTGCTGGGTAGCTGCCCTCACATCCCCTTCCATACCATGAAGCAGAAAGCATGGATGGTGTGGAGACACAACGAACAGTGGCTTCCAGGGCATCTCCTGTGGGTGGTATGCGGGGGCCGAAAAGGCACAGGTTATTTCAGCCTTGGCCACATCCATGAGGCTCATTGAGTGGTTCCTGAAAAAGATTAGCACCTGGAAACAAAGAGAAAGAACTCTCAGACTTGACTCTCACAGAAAGGCGGAAGATGGAGGCCACCTTGGGACCCGGTTCCAGGACCCTTCTTACCTCCTGGCCTCTGTCCCAGGTCAGACACTCATTGCCACGAGGGAGAATCTGGTTCCCAGTCCAGGGCGCTGCCCTCATCCCCTCACAGTTGGCCCTAAGCTTTGAGGGCCCTTCCTGCATGCCCTTGGGTCCCTCTCTGTCTCTTACAAACTCATCTCCTGGGGACTATTGGGAGCCAACAGGACATTAACTTTGACAGTGATCACTAACTGCAGCTGGGCACAGTACAGACATTACCAGACTCATGTATTCGGGGAGCCTCCTTGGGCCCTGTATGGACTCATTCTCTGCCAAGTGTGTCTCAATCACAGGCCCTGAAAGGATTAGGGAGTCAGCAGAATGTGGCAGGACCAGCCATAATGCCCTTTTGTCCTACAGCTGCACCCAGAGGCAGGCCAGCACGTGGGTTCTAGACCCGCTTAGAAGATGATGTTCCCTGTTCCTGTTCCCACCGCTCCGTGTAGCGGATCTCATGGACAGGGAATGTGTCTGCACCCTCTGCCAGCACACAAAGGCTGGCCCCTCTGTCCCACACCTACCCTCTTCCCTCCTCATACTTACACACCTGAACTTTGGTAGTACCTTTTGATACTGTCTCAACTTCTCTAGCCTGCTGTCCCCTCCTGTCACACTACCCTCCCCTCTGCAACTTCTGCATTAGATGATCCCTGCTGAGTTATATTACACATTATGTCAGTCTTTCTTGTGTTCCTGGGCAACTGTTTGGGGATTTGTGTCCTGACGAAATGGGAGCTCCATCTGGGGGAGGACTTCCTCTTTAGTGTGTTAGTGTTTATTCGCTGCTTGGGATTGAATCCAGGGCCAGCTAACATTTACTCTACTGCTCAGCACTACCCCACCCCGCCCTGGAGTTTCTCTTTCATATCCATATACCCCAAAGCAAATCCAATGACCAGCACTGTCTACTGACCCAGTAGGCTGTCAACAACCATTTCTGGAACACTCACAGAAGAGGACCAAGGACCGGAGCACCTACCATGCCAGGCAAGGCTGGGACTGGGGCCACTGCACAGATGGCTTCTTCCAGGTGCTTCGTGGGCCTATGGGGCACAAACAATGGCATTCTCCTTCTGTAGAGGTCTCAGACTTTTACTGTCTTCTCCTAGGTATTTATTCGAGAGAAACTCTTCTTTTCCTTTTGGGATTTTATTTCTATTTTGTATATGAGTACTCTGCATGCATGCCTACACACCAGAAGAGGGCATCAGATCCTATTACACATGGTTGTGAACTACCATGTGCTGCTGGGAATTGAACTCATGGACCTCTGGAAGAGCAACCAGTGCTCTTAACCACTGACTCATCTCTCCAGCACCAAGAGAAACTATTGATGTATACCAATAGATATCTGAAGAGATCATTCATAGAAGCAAAACAAAGAAAGGAACAAACAAGACTAGGAACAGTGTAGATACTCACCAGCAGGAGGCTGCTTACGTAGCAGAGCATAAAGCACAATGGAAACGGAACTGGAGGTACATGTACCAACATGTATAGCTTTCATGGTCAATGTTATAAAGCAAGTCAGATTAAACAGAATAAACAAAAAGCAAATTGGAGGTTCATAGAATATGGTTCCAGTCATAAGTTTCCTAAATATATACAACGTAACAAATGCACTTTTAGAGGCAAAATCATGTATAGGTTGTAAATTCTTAAATCAAAGGAATGATAAGAATAAGAAAATGGGCCAGGTGTGGTGCATGCCTTTAATCCCAGCATTTGGGAGGCAGAGATTTGCACGACAGCCAGGACTGTTACATAGAGAAACCCTGTCTTAAAAAGCAAGCAAGCAAACAAACAAAAAACAAAAAATAGGAAAAAAATGTGGAAACTGAAAAAAGAAAAACAAATACTTAGCAGCAACTCTCATAAAAACCAGGACTTTATAGATGGGTCAGTTAAAAGCACTTGCTCTTCCAGAGGACTTGGGTTGGGTTCTCTACACCAACGTGCTAGCTAATAACAGAAGGTCACTCCCTTTTCTGTCCTCTGCAGGAGCTCATGTACATGGTACACTAACATGCATGCAGCTGAGCACTCATACACTTAGATAAAAGTACTGTTTTAAAAACCAACAAAACAACAAAGCCTCCCACTGTTTGGATTTGGGTGTGGCCAGGGCACGTGCTTCTCCTGTAAGATCTCAGCAGATGTCACAATGTCCAGAAGTGTGAGGCGCGTTTGCGCTTTGCTGTTGCCCTCTCTTGCTCGTGGGCAAGCTTAGGGCAGCATGTGAGGAAGCCTTGGCCAGCCAGAGGAGAGAGCAGGAGGAGGGGAGCCACTGTTTCCTGGTCAACAGCCTGCTGGCTTCCAGGAGTGGGAGACAAGCTAGCCTAGGCCCTAGCCCCCGATGAGCCACCAGTGACCGGCAAGAGCTGGTGCAAGCTAGGTAAGGCCAGTGAGACATGATCTGCTCACTACGGGCATGGGGTGCCGCTGGAGGGCTGCTTTCTGCAGCCAGTCATGTTGGGGGATGTTTGGTGTGTGGCTGTTGATAGGCAACAACCTTCAGGGAGAAAGGAGGATGTGATCAATTCCTTAGGGAACGGGAGGTGATTGGTTTCTTCTGGGCACAGCAAGTTTATCTCATCATCATCATCATCACACACACAAGCAGAGAGAGGGAGAGAGAGCAGGGATTCACTTGCATACATATAATATTTTAAACCTCATTTTTGAGACAGGGACTTACTATGTAGCCCTGGGACACTGGGACTTACTATGTAGCCCAAGCTCCTTTGCTTCCTGGGCACTAAGATGAAAGGTATGTGCCACCATGCCTGGCCTTATTTAAAATTTTTGTGTTTCTTAAAGACCTCTGGGGAAACTGGTGAAAGTTATTTGGGGGAAACTGAGGCTCTCTGGTCCTATAGCATAGGGAAAGGACGGTTTTTCTAGAGAACTGTGCCCTACCCACATGGCACTGTGCCAGGCCAGGAGGGTGGTGGCAATGGCAGTGGACTCTAGGCAGAGGCCGTCAGTCTTATAGAATAGCATCATCTATCTACCACCTTGTCCTGTCCCTAAGCCACTGACCTCTCAACAAGCACCTTGCTGGTGGGTCCTTTCGTCCCACTGGCTGTCACCAGGTGGAGGGAAGCATTGGTACACAGCACCACACACATCATTTCAGACTTCACCCAGAATTCAGGATACATGTTCCGTCCTTCATGCACCATGAAGAATCTTAGGAAGTGAATGCTTTGGCAGAAGCAGCCCTCAGGCAGAGCAATGACCCCAAAGAGGAATCCTGGGGAGAAAAAAATGACTCTAACGCATCAGAAAAGATGAGGTCGCAGCCACGGGTCACAGCTCTGTGACCAGGAAGCGTGTGAGGGACATGTGTGGGGTGAGGGCCAGGTCAAGCAATGTGCAGCCTCTGCAAGGAGAATGCCCATGCCCACTGCAAAAGAACCATCGAGGGTCTTGTGCCTAGAGAGGAGCTGGGGGACAGGGACCAAGGCTAAGGAGGAAGGGGAGAGACAGCAATGGAATGGAGATATCTATAGCCCAGCTGACCTACGGTTGATTGCCCACAAAAGTCTACTAATATCGTCCCCTTGAAATGAAAATGAGCTGTTGACTAAGGGGCTGTGCATCACTTTGATTCACGGTCCCTGATGAAGCCTGGCTGGTGGATGCTTTCAGATGTCACCATTTCTGCGTCTGTAAAGCTGGACCAGGAACCTGGGTCCCCACCATCACCCAGAACCGCCGCTGGTCTTGCTTTGACGGCTTTCTAGATCCCTCAGCTCTAATACCAGCAGAGTTCCTGCTGATTGGCATGGGGGCAGAACAGCATGGAAGAGGACCTGCTTTCTTTGAGAGCAAGGGCCGAGGCTGCAGAACCTCTCAGGCTGTTCTGGGAGACACATTTTCCCTGCGCTGTAACAAGGAAAGTGATAGCTGTGCTCTTGGGACCTGGCGCACTACCAGACACAGAGCAATCTCTCAATGAGTACATGGGCAAAACAAAAACAAACAAACAAACAAGCAAACAAGCAAAAGGTCAATATTATGCTCCAGGAGTGAAGAAGGGGAGAGCAGGCCCAGCTGTCCCAAAAGGACTGTGAACGTACTGACGGAAGGAATTCCCAAGCTCAGTCTAGGGGTGAGATGGGAACTCACCTTGGGCCAGGTTCCACAGAATGAGCACACCATCCTCACAGGCGAGGACAAGGTAGGAGGAGCTGCTGATCTGAGACACTGTAATGGGCGCAGCACAGGGCCATACATTTTCACAGTCTAGATGGAAGAGATCATTTGCGGGGGAATCAGGCCCAGACTGGTCTGCCTAACCCAGTGTCTGAGCACCGGAAGCCCCTTGTCTAGAATCTCCACCCATCTCTCAGTGCTGTGCTCCTTTCCCAGACTAAAATAAGTCACAGCTAATGTTTGGTGGCTATTTGTGGGCACTTGAAGGACATGGTTAGGCTTAGATAGGCTTGTTACTGGTTACAGGTAGAACACCATTTCATAGGTAAGACTGAGAGACAAGCCAGTCAGTAGACCAGTAGACGTGTGTGTGTGTGTGTGTGTGTGTGTGTGTGTGTGTGTGTGTGTGTGTAGGGTTAGAAGCCAGGCTGCCTGGGAGAGGGCAGAGGAAGCAAGTCCTTCTGCAAGCATACTTAACCTGACTTGTACAGCACAGCGTGGAAGTAAAGTGCCACTCAAGACCTCATCCTGAGTGGACTGCACGTAAGCTGTGTCCATGGATGTGTCCGGCAACAATCCCTGCCTGTGTTGCAACTTCAACGGGCTTTCCAATATCAAACCCTCTGGATTTTGCTATTTACAGCCAACACACTCAGTGTTACTATTTAGGCATTTGTACTGGCCTGCCTTTGGAGTTCTGACAGGATGTGCCCTTGGCCGCTGCCACTAAGAGCTCCACCCATGCCTATTCACTATGTTCCCTTTTAAAAGAACCCTGCCCACCTCCCATCTCTCTCTCTCTCTTTCTCTCTGCCTCTCTTTCCCCTCTCCCTCTGTTCTTGTCCCTGGAGGCTAGTCTCCTCTCTCCCCTTCCCCTTTTTACAATCCTTTCCCCTTAATTAAAAAAAAAAAACAAAAACAAACAACAACAAAAAAAACCAAAAAACAAACAAACAAACAAACAAACAAAAAACCAAAAATACCCTCAGCTTGAACTCTGTTGCATAGTGTCTTTCTCTCTCAAGCCACTTTTTAAAAATTACAACACTCAGCATACAGTGATGTATAATGACTTACTAGAGTTTCAAAGAAAAAAGATGGATGTGAAGCAACGGGCCTGAAGTGCACCTTTCACACACACACACTGGGCTGCAGGCACTGGCCGCCGGAGCCAAGCCCACTCTGCTTTCACACTGCATTCTGTGGGGCCCTGTGCATTGACTCTGACAAGAAACGAGTCAGGGACAGACCTTGGGCACCCACTAAGCACCTATCTCTGCCTGCACAGCTCTGGTTCCCTCATGCCACACTCAGCCAGAGAAGCATAGGTTCTCAGAGCCCCGAGCTAAGGCACTGTCTCAGTCTTGGCAGCTAAAGTACCAGTTTTATCCTTCAGAGTTTTGTTCAGGGAATAGAGGAATAAATTATGACTTCCAGTCCAGTGTATGCCAAGGATATAGGCAGCTCCTGGAGGTGGGGAGAGAAGAAAGGGCATTAGTAGACAAAAGGCAGCCTAGGGTTTGTGTGGCAAGTGTACTGCCTGTCAAGTCTGCAATGATTTGTTCTAGTGCAGTCCACTCGGCAGAAAGGTGAACTCAGCGAGAACAGTCTAGCACCTCCATGGAGGCTACTCCTAGGGTAGGCTACAGCTGTCCTTACATCTTCTAGAAAGACAACATCTTAGAAGCCGGAGTTTGGTCTGATTGTTACGAGGAGTTCATAACCAGAAGCAGCTTGACAGATCTGTACACTCATGTCCTTCTAGGGCAGCCCCTCCCTCAAGTCCTGTGGCTTCCATTTTAGGGACACACACCCAAACAGACACCGCCAAACTACAGCTGTCCGCCTGATTTCCACCTTCACTCCTTCCCACCATGCAAGATCTGCCGTGTGGCACATCTCCAGGAGGGCCCTTTGCCCAGATGACCACTGTCCCACTCTCGCTTACCTGAAGAGCTCTTGATATCCACTGGTGTTGGAAATATGGAGGGGTTAGCAAAGAAGTGGAATGTGGCCGTACTGGGGAAGACAGACAGGGGTCAGAGCCATGTAGACCCCTTGGCAAGAAGAGATCTGGCACAATATGTAACTAAGACCAGAAATGACTTAGTTTCTGATAGTGAACCTCCCAGAGCCCCATGATAGCCCCATGCTAGGGCTGAGGGGCCACAAAGACATTGACACAGATGAAGACAGTGCTATTGGGGAGAAGTTGTGGGTCACTCATAGGCCAGCAGGGTAGAGGATAGAGCCCCAGCCAAAGGAGCCCCACCCCCACTTTCAGAAGGTCACTTCTATCCTCAGAGGAGATCCCTTAAAGGCCAGACATGGGTGACATTTCATAAATGCTTTCTGACCGGGGGGGGGGGGCGTCACAAAACTCAAAGTGTACTGATAAACTGGCCCTTATTTGGAGTGCTTGCAGATTCTCATGGTATTCCCGCAGTGGCTAGTTAATGTGGTCCCTAAATATCTTGCTGGGCAGTAAGAACTAAGTGGGTACCATCAAGTCAGGCGAGGGTCTCAGTTCACAATAAAGGGCTGCCTGCCGTTAAGGCTGGGCCTTCAGAATCCATGTCCTGAGGTGAGGACATCCAAGGCCTACTTAATAGCAAGATGACAGGTCTCATTTTTCATGTGAAAACAAGAATGTTCCAACAGAGCCGGGAGGCATGGTTCTTAAACCATGGCTACTTCAGACACTGGCTCAGTTCTTACCATCAGACGTGGGCTATGAGGCTTGCCTGCTGACTGAGGTGTTAGCACACATCACTGCTAACATATTGTAATAACTACAGATTTATATAACATCACATTTAGAAAGACACGGAGAGCCTGGCTGGCACACATAGGCCCTGGGTTATATTCAATGCTGTAAAGTAGCAAGAAGAAATAGAGGGAAGTGTCCCTCTATAGAGGTGTTGACATTTCCTTTTTTGTTATCTTTTCTCTGTGTGCATTTTCCTTTTTGAAAACCAGAACGAAACAGAAAAGATGTCATACATCAATCTAAAGTAAACTCTGTCTCATCTCCATAGGTCCTGCTTCTTTTCCCTTGTCTGGGCTTTGAACCTGGGCTTTGGGCTTATTAGACAGAGTTCAACTGAGCCATACAGATATTCCTTCTTTAAAATTCTAGTTGCCAGCCTTTGCTCTATCTAGCTGCACTTAAACAAGCCCACAGAGCATTTTTACAAGAACCTGCTGGAGCTGGAGACATTGCTTGGTGGTTATGAGCACTGGCTTCTGGAGCAGTTTAATTCTTAGCACCCACTTGATTGCTTACAACTGTCTGTAACTCTAGTTGCAGGGGATGGCCGGAGGCCCTCTTCTGACCACCATGGGCACTGCATGAGCATGGCACACAGACATACATGTAGGCAAAATACCACTCCAAAATTTAAGTTAATTAAGTACAATTAAAATAAACATTTAAAAACAATCTGCTGAATTCTCCCAAGAGAGGTTTTAGACGGGGACTGATCCAGGATGCTTGCTTGGGTCCAGCGAGTACAGAGCCTGGCAGCCTCCTCCCTCGGGCTCACCTGAGTGGTTCCTCTTCCCACTCCCCTTCCAGGTACTTCTTGTAGGAGGCATAGAAGAGATCCATGTGCTGATCCCATTGCGCATCCTTGATGAAGTGATTCTGCCCGGAGCCTAGCCCACAGTAGTCTTCTACCTTTGAAAAAATCTCCAGGGGGCTTTTAAATGTGGTACCTGGATTGAAGAGATCCCAGGATCCAGTGAAATCCCACTTCCCTGTGCTGGTTCCCCCTGCTTCCTTCAGAAGCCTCACCTCAGAAACCCACTTTTGCTCCGCAGGGTCTGAGGGTCTGAGATCCAGGGATCCAGCCCTGGCCATCCTCTCCCTTAACACACAGGCTCAGAGAGCCCGGGCAGAGGGCAGCTATTCTCCCTCTCCACACTCCCAACCCAGCATGTCAGGTTTCTGCAAAAGAAGGGTCAAGGGAATGCCTGTGGTGTGTTAAGGCCTGTGTTGCTGTCCTACAAAGTAAGGCCCCGACCGGCAAAGGCCATCACTTCCTGCTATTGCTGAAGACCCCTGTTCCTACGCAGTCCCTGTTGCTTCCACTTCCTCTCTTACAGGACTTCTGCTCTGTTGCTCACCTTCCCTGTCATTCTTCCTAGCAACCTTGCAACCTCCCAATCCACCCTCCTCTGCTTTCTAGAGCTAGGAATAAAACCCAGGATCTCTTGCACAAAGGCAAACACTCTACCATTAAGTATACTCCCAGTCTACCACACCATTCTGTGTGTGTGAGTGTGTGACAAAAAGTCTTTCCTAGGTCTAGACAGAGATGGCTCAGAGGTTAAAATGCATACTGCTTTTGTAGAGGACATCCATGATAGGCAACTTACAAATGCCTGTAACTCCAGTTCCGGGGGGGGGGGGGGGTTCAACACCATACTCAAAGATGCACATAACCATATATAGACACACTTGTATACAGTTAATGTTTTTGTTTGTTTGTTTGTTTGTTTTCTGAGACTGGTTTCTCTGTAGCTGTGGAGCCTGTCCTGGAACTCACTCTGTAGATCAGGCTGCCCTTGAACTCACAGAGATCCACCTGCCCCTGCCTCCCTAGTGCTGGGATTAAGGGTGGTGTGCCACCACGCAGTCGATTTATCTTTCCTTAATTACTGTAGTTTTGCAACACACCTTTACATTTTTTATTATATTTATTCACTTTGTGTGTGTGTGTGTGTGTGTGTGTGTGTGTGTGTGTGTGTGTGTAGCCTGCATGTCTGTGCACTACGTGCACTCTTGGTGCCCACAGAGGTGAGAAGAAGGGGCTGAATCCCTGGACCCTGTAGTTGTTGATGGTTGTAGCCACCATGTAGGTAATGGGAATCAAACGTGGATCACCTGTAAGAGCAGCAAGTTTCTCACCCTCTGCTCTGTCTCTCCAGTCCTCGTAACAAATCTTCCTAGATAGGACTTTCTAGAGCTCGAAATAAAACCCAGGATCTCTTGCACAAAGAGTCCTAACACTAATATTCTTTTAAATTTTTAAATTAGTTTTCATTTTCTGTGTATGGTATTTTGCCTGCATGTCTGTGCAGCATGTGTAAGCCTGTGTCCTAGGAGGCCAGATTAGGTCTCAGATCCCTTCCAACTGGAGTTGTGAGCTGCCATGTGGATGCCAGGAACTGAGCCTGCAAGAGCAGGAAGTATCCTTAACCATAAGTCAGTTCCCCAGCCCCCACTAATACTCCTCTCTTTTTTATTTATAAAGCATTTAAATCTTTTATATTTATTTATTTTATGTGTATGTTTTGTTTTCATGTATTTCTGTGCATTGTGTACCTGTCCCTGGTAGGCCAGAGGTTAGATGAAGGTATTGGGGTCCCCTTAGAATTAAAGTGTCAGAAGGTTGTGCACTAGCATGTAGGTGCTAGGAACTGAACTTGGATCCTCTGTGAGAACAACTCATGTCATAACTGCTGAGCCACATCATCAGCTTCAACTAACATTATTATTGTTGTTGTTGTTGTTTTTCAAGACAGGGTTTCTCTGTATTGCTTTGAAGCCTGTCCTAAAACTTGCTCTGTAGACCAGGCTGACCTCTAACACACAGAGATCTGCCTGCCTCTGCCTCCTGAGTGCTGGAACTAAAGGTGTGCGCCACCAACACCTAGCTCTAACATTATTTTTTTAAGTTACTGGCTGTTCTTGACCCTTTGTATTTCTTTCTGATTTTTAATGGCTGCAAGTTATTCCTTTGTATAGATACACTAGATTTTATTTAACCAGTCTGCTTCTCTTGCAAATAATGCTATGTAGTTCATGGGTGTAGGTAACATTTTTATTGGTATATCTTTGAGACCATGTTAGTATCAAGATGCTCTATATTCTCTGCTTATAATGGATAACTGCTCTTATCTTCTTGGTCAACTCTTACTTAACCTAAACCTGGCTCCAATATCCCTTCCTTCGATAAAGTCTTTGTTTATCCTTGGGCAGAGTCAGACATTCCTTTCTGTTTTCATGGTCCTAGATATTTCCAATTACTGTACTTAAAACACTGTACTGTAGTTTCCTTCCAGTCTCCATTGGTAGACCTTCAACTTCTAGAATGAAGGAGATTTGTCTTTCTGATTTCCATGCTTGGTTGCAGACACTAAGCAAAAGAGTGATGATGACTTACACAGAAGTATGGGAATGAATTAATTCTGCCTAGCAATCATAAAAGATGTCTTTCTTTGACCTACTAATTCTACTAACTGAATTCTTGCAATATTTGTACTTCTTTTTGTTTTTCAGTCCTAGAGACTCAGATTTTTTAAAAATCCTCTTTAGAATTATGCATTTAATTAGATATAATTGCTAATAAGCAGGAAAACAGAAATGTGGAATAGGGCTAGTAAGGGAAACAACAGGAAATCAACAGCAAAAGAAACAAGTGCTACCTCTTACCTGCTATGGGCTTAGGGGGTTTAATCTTCATTATATAAACTGGAGAACTCAACTTAATGTCAGTTTTAAAACAAATGCTTAAGTCCTAAAATAAAATAAGGGAAAGACCCATCCAGTAAGCCGACAAAGGAGATTTATGGAATCATTAAAAATAACCTTTCTTAAGGATGTCAAGAAAAAGAAGAAAAATAGGACAAGTAGAAAATGGAATAGAAAGATGGTAGACTTAAACTCAAACTTTCCAATAACATTAAATATAAATGGTCTAAATACTATTCTTAAAAGGTAGATACATCAGTTCTTATTGCTAGGTGGAACTCATTCACTCTTATATCCATGTGTTATCACCAATATTTACTGAATATGCATAGTGCACCAAGCATAAAATTAAGAAATACATACCCAATAAAATGATACATTTAAACTATATGATGTCAAAAAGAAACTCCATTTAAGCCACACTTGGAAGGGCGAGGCAGCAGGATTGTGAGTTTGAGGCTATCCTGAGCTAAAGGGAAACTGTAAAATGAGCTTTAGCTACACAGAGAGATGCTATATCACATACATGCACGCACGTACGCACGTACACAAGCACGCACACACGCGTGCACACACAGAGAGAGAGAGAGAGAGAGCCTACTTCAATTTTTGGTTTAAATATAAATAAACATGTTAAAAATATAAGTATTAAAACTGGTATATATCAACTCAAAATAATTGAAAGAAAGCTGAGATGACTAATACTAACATTTGACTTAGATTCCAATAAGAACCAAAACTACTAACAGGACCAAAGAGTACATGAGTAATGTCAGTTTATCAGAAAACATGGCTTCCCATGTTATACATCTAATAACAGGGTTTCAAAATACCCAAACAAAAACCTCACAGAAGTGAGAGAACAAATCCAGTCTTAGAGACTCCTCTCCCAAAGGGCAACAGGATCAAGCACACAGAAATGTGAGTAAAATACAGTACGGGTACAAGAAGAAAAGCAAAGGATGCAGGGGACTTGAATAATTTGACCAAAACAAGCAGAATTTACCCTCTTTTCAAATGTGTTTAACCATGCAAACCATATTTTGGGTATAAAAGAAATCTCAATAGATTTGAAAGGTGTCACACTACAAAATATTCAATAAAATAGCAGCAAGCTAGCTAGCTCTGTGAAAAGTTGGTTTTAAAAACAGTGGCACAGGGCTCAGTGAGAGGGTGGTTACCTGGATTGCATAAGGGCTTAGACTTGGTCGCAAGCTCTGGAAAAAAACACACACACACAAATAAATAAGTAATGTTATGATCACGAAAGAGAAACAGACATAAGAAAAATATCACAAAGGAAGCATTCACACATATATCTTTGGGGTGTGTGTGTGTGTGTGTGTGTGTGTGTGTGTGTGTGTGTGTGTTTGTGCGCGCATGCGCGTTTAGAGGCAGGGTCTCTATGTAGCTCTGGCTGCACTTGAACTCACTATACAGATCAGGCTGGCTTGGAACTCATAGAGATCCACTTGTCTCTACCTCCTGAGTGCTGGGATTAAAGGCGGGCACTATATCTGGCTTCATACTCACACGCACACATCTTTATAAAACAGAATGCTTAAGTAAAATGAATTATCACCAAAAATGACTCAAAACATTAAAAAAATAATGGGCTGAATAGCATAGAGTTTGAAAACGTAATACAACTTTTTGCTAAGTAAGACCTCATGACTCTCACCTAAGAAGGGAAAAAAGATATTACAACTTACCTTACAGGGAAGGCTACCATACATATCCTGACACCAGAAGCTGAACAGAAAACTATCCAGAGAAATTCACACAAAAACAATAAGCCAGACTCATATCTCATATTTAAAATTGAAAATGCCTGTGCACTTTTGAATTACCGTGTGTGTGTGTGTGTGTGTGTGTGTGTGTGTGTGTGTGTGTGTGTGCGCGCGCGCGCGCGCATGCATGCATGCTTGAGTCTACCTCTGTCTCTGTAGAAAGATCACCTAGACAGAGCAGTACCAAACACACAGCACAGGCTGTGTAGCCAGCCTATGCTGGTTAGGTGTCTACATTTGTTTGTCAATTAGGGAGACCTTCAGTTGAGAAAATATCTCCATCTGATTGGTCTGGATGCAGGTGGGCAGGAGAGCAATCTAAAAACTAATGCTGTATATGTGAATGTGCTGAATGGGGGGTTAGCTGCAGCAAACATAAAGCAGCAGCAAGCAGATGCCTGTGCAGAGATTGATACGTTCATTTGCTTCACTATGGAGACCTCTTTTAAAAACCTGCATGTATCCCACAGCCTCTTGTTATGTCCCTTAAATAAACAGTTTATTTCTTTTAATGAGGAGAAAAACTTTGATAAAGGTCAATATCCATTCTTGATGTAAATAAAACAAAACTTAGCAAGCTGAGACTAGAGGGACACATGTTCAGTTTGGTAAAGGCTGTTTACTGCTATTCTTCAACATTTTTGTTAGGGACCCTGGAAAATAGAACAGAGCAAGAACAAGAAAAGGCTGTCAGGATTTACAGCTGTGGTTGTGTGTCTAGAAGATGCACAGTCATTAAGCAGAAAGCGTCAGCAGAGATAAGAAGGTTCAGTAAAGAGGCCAGCAGTGCCAGCATGGGAGGGAGAGAGCAAGGCGCTCTCAGGACGGGGCAGTGCGGCAGAGGAACTCAGAGAGGGACAGTACAGCGGGTGTTGGACTCTGTACCCACATGCCTGACCCGAAGAGTCTCTCCCTTTTATCAGATTAATTTTCAAAACTGTGAGTTCATGTGGAGATGTGTGTATGTAAGTGTAGTGCCTGAAGAGGTCAAAGCAGACATCAAATTCCCTGGAGCTGGGGCTACAGACAGTTGTGAGTCTCCTGACATCATCGGTGCTGAGAACCAAACTCAGGCTCTCTGCAAGAGCAACAGGTGCTCTTAATCACTGAGCCACCTCTCCACCTCCTTTTTTTTTTTTTTTTTTTTTTTTTTTCTGAGAGTATCTCTTTAAATTCTGTACCTTCATTCTACTCAATAGAAATCAGCAAGGTAAATAGGAACCAATGTGGTAGAGACTGGTTCGTTCTTCCTTCCTTCCTTCCTTCCTTCCTTCCTTCCTTTCTTTCTCTTTCTTCCTTCTTCTTCTTTATTTTATTTTATTTTATTTTTTTGAGACGGGGCCCTGCTCTATAACCCTGGTTGTCTGCTGTCTTGGAACTCACTATGTAGACTAGGTTGACCTTGAACTTACAAAGGTCCACCTGCCTCTGTTTCTTGAGGGTTGGGATTAAAGATGTGCACCACCATGCCTCGCTTCTTGTCTTTTTTTTGACTCCCCAGCCCTGACACTTTTATCTGGAGGAGACTCAACCATTACTAACATCTCAAAGAATGTTTCTTCTTTGAGACAGAATTTTGAGTACCGCAGGCTGACCTCATACTTGCTCTGTAGTCAGGGATGACCCTGAACTCATGACCCTCCTAGGTGGACCTCCCAAGTGCTGTTTGAGCATATGCCTCCATGCTGCTGGCCAGTGAGCTGACTTTGCCCAGAGTGATGTTGTCATGGGTTATTTATGCAGCTTGAGACGAAGTGTAAGTTAAAGGGTGGAAGGAAGGGAAGGGCTCTAGCAAGGGACCCCATTTCAGATGTTGTGGGTCTTCTTCTCAACCTTAAGAAAGGGTGTTCTCCACAGACCCCAGAACAGGCAGGCTGCACCATCTCCCAAAGCAGTCCAAGATGAAAATGAACTCCACAGTTCACTTGTCTTGGTGGGCTGCATTGTTATAGTGGCAGGAGCAAATCCAGGTTTCACCGGGTCCTCTTTAGGGGAGAGAATGGAATCAGGGCACAGCAGTGTGTGTCTGGAATCCCAGCACTGGGTGGTGGTGAAAAGCTGCTAGTTAGAGGCCAGTGTGGGCTACATGGATACTCTGCCTCAAAAACAAATACCTATAAAGTTAGGAACCCAAAATGCCCACAGCCACTCTAACACCACTAAACAGGAAGGAGATTACAACAGAGGGAAATTAGAGTCTCAAGTGATGGCAATTAACAATATTTTTGCAAATTTTATAAGAATCAAAGATGAAAAAACTGCATCACTAAGGCCCTCACAAAGGGGCTTTGTAAGTGGTGGGGTCGCAGTTAAGCTCCCTTAGTTAGCTTCAAATAATTCTGTCTCAGCTCACATGGTTTGAGGCTGTCTTCAGTGTTTGTAAGACTTGAAATAAGATACACAGATGCTGGGAGCAGGGCCCCAGCAGGACATTCTACCAGTATACTTGATGTACTTTTCACATATAAGCATGGCCCTTTCAAATGTGACTAAGTCTCTCTGAATATTTAAAGTTTCTTACCGTTTCTCCACTTTCTATAAGAGCAGAGTCAGGAGTGCTCTGAGGAAGGAACAAAGAAACAGGAATGAATTCACAATAGGTTGATGTGTGTTCCTGACTCCCTGCTGTCTTCAGAGACGTTCTTTCTCCCCCCCCCAGACCCATTTTCTCTTTTAAGAAATGAATTCATGGGTAGGGCTTGGTGGTGCACGCTTTTAGTTTCAGCACTCAGGAGGCAGAAGCAGGCAGATCTCTGTAAGTTCAAGGCCAGCCTGGTTTACAAAGTGAATTCCAGGACAGTCAGGTCTGTTACACAGAGAAACCCTATGTTAAAAACAAACAAACAACAAACAGCAACAACAAAAAGAAGCAAATTCATGGAGTACACATGTAGGTCCAACATCTGAGTAGCCTATAGGGTTTTAGGGCATGATGTCCATTCTTCAGGACCTTAAACTGTAGTTGGAGAAAGATGAAGCACCTAACAACTATGGGTGTGGGATGGATGGATCAGCTAGGACACCATTACAAAAAACTAACATTGGAAAAACTTGAAATGAGGTTTTTTGTAAAATTTTTTATTAAATTCTTAATTATCTTTGTTTTATTTTAATTAATTTAATAAATCAAATTTTAGTATTTAATTAACCAGTTTGATTTCAATTTAAATATTTAAATAATTTAATTTGATAATTAATTTATTTTTATTTATTTGTGAGAGGGAGCCTTGTGTGTGCCACAGTTTGCTTGTGGGACAACCACGTGAGTCTCAGGAGTCGAACTCAGGTTGTCCAATTTGGCAGTGTGCTCCTTTACCCACTGAGCAATCTCCAGGGGCCCTCCTTTTCTTTTCTCCTTTTCTTTTTTCCTTTTTTTTTTTTCTGAGACAGGGTCTTATTCTGTAGCACTGGCTGTCCTGGAACTCACTATGTGGATCAGACTGGTCTTGAACTCACAGAGATCCACCTGCCTCTGCCTCTGCCTCTGCCTCCAGAGTGCTGGGATTAAAGGAGTGTGCCAGTATGCCCAGCAGTCTGTGTTGGGTCCCTAAAGTGACTATTTCTAATTTGGAAAATATAGTGACAACAGTTCATATTTAAGCAACCCCAAATATTATTTACAGTATAAGGTCTAAACCGTTACATGCTGGTTGATCCTCAGTGTATGAAAAAACAAGTGAATAGCCATTCAGTGGTGGCAGACACCTTTAATCCCAGCACTCAGGATCTCTGAGTTCTAGGCCAGCATAGTCTACAAAGAGTTTCATGGCAGCCAGGGCTAAGGGAGGAGGGAACAATAGTGATTGGAAAAGATGTTTTCTACCAGTTGCAGCTGTTTGGTTTTTTTCTTTTGATTGAGACCAAACTGTGGGTGCTCCACTTCCTTCAGCCAAGTCTCCCTGGGCAATTTATACACTTCCAGCCAAACATCCCCAGCTCCTGCATTGGAAAACCAAACAAGCAAGCATTAGGTAACTGCTAGCAGGCGACAAGTTTCAGCTGAAGATTGTCTGTTTTCTCAGAAGTGCTGGCTGGAGACCCAGAACCTTTGCAGGAGACACCCATGCAAGGGAGGGTTGCATAAACTGAAGCAATGGTTATGGCATGCCCTCACTTACCAAGCAACCTCTGCATGGAGAGTTGACCCCTTATGCCACTGCTATCTAATGGAATCAGGGGCTTCTCCCACACTGACACAGCTGTGTTTTTAATCAAACTGTCTTCTATGCCAAGTCCCCTGTTTTCTATGTTGCAAGTAGTTGTACTGACATTCTGCCCTAGAGTTGACATTGCCACCTAGGGAAGGAAGGTGGCACATGTAAGCATAGTAAGAGAGTCTTGGAGCAAAGGAAGAGTTGGAAAGGGGACAGACCCCAAAGAATTCTTCTGGCCAACATTTGAGATGATGATCTATAGAAGGCTGCTGGACCTTCTCCCATCACAAGAACAGGCTGGGTTCCTGTTCTGAATACTGAACCAGTTGGGAAAGGTTGCTTTCCCACAGACTGGGATCCTACTTCTATGTTTCATTAAAAATATAGTCATCTGGACCCTTTAATTTCATGCTTCTTGTTCTCAGAACCATGAGGGAGTAAATGCCTATCATTGTAAGTTATCCACTTTGTGGTACTTTGTTTAATAGTCCAAGAACATGAATACATCAGTGTTTTGCCTACGTGTATGTTCATATATCATGTATGTAACTGGTACCCAAGAGGAACTAGAGTTGCATATGGTTGTTAGCTGCCATATTGATACTGAGACTCCAATCTGGGTCCTCTGGAAGAGCAGTCAGTGCATTTAACTACTGAGCCATCTCTCTGGTCCCTACCATATCTTTTGATACAAAAAGCACTGTTAAATCTCTATCTTCCTCAAGCATTTAGCATTTGAAGACCCTTTAGGAAAAAAGTATAAATCCAGACTCATATAAAATATGTTCAAATATTTAAAAGCTGAATATCAAACTACCAAACATTTGAATAAAATATGTTTTGTTGACACAGGCATAACTGCCGCTGGCAAGGTGGGTAGCAGGGGCTAAGGTAAAACTTTACAGAAAATTAAGATATCTGAGAAGACACAGATATTTTAATTCCTAAAGTTTTACCTGCCAGATCTCTGAGTTTGAGGCCAGCCTGGTCTGCAGAGCAAATCCCAGAACAGCAAGGATACACAGAGAAACCCTGTCTTGAAAAACAAAAAACTAAACCAAAATAAAAAGTTTTACCTACCAATCACCATATATGTTGTGGTTGTGTAGTTTGATGGGACCCCTAACAGTGGGAACGGGCTGTCTCCGACTCTTTTGCCTGCTTTTGGGACCCCTTTCCTCCTATGGGGCTGCCTCATCTAGCCTTAATATGATGGGGCTATGCCTAATCTTGTTGCAACTTGATATACTTGTTCCATTGATATCCCTGGGAGGCCTGCCCCTTTCTGAAGGGAAGTGGAGGAGTATTGGGTCTGGGGGAGAGGGGAAATGGTGAGGAAGGGAACTGGTCAGAATGTAATATATGAGAGAAGAACTTTAAAAAAGAAAGAAAGCAACAATACAAAGAAAATATCTGTATCTTCTCAAAGCAGCTGCCCCCAATGTCTAATAATTACAATAGTGGTTGTTAATATATGACCAAATGGTCTGCCTCTAGGGGACTCCTAAATCGCCCTCCGAGTGCTGTCTGCACTTAGTGGCTTGCTCCTTACAGAGGATGAAAGGGGAAAAGGTAGGCAAGGCATGGTAGTGTAGACCTAGAGTGACAACTACTCTGGGGGTTGAGGCAGGAGGATTGCTTGAGCGCGGGATTTAGGAGCCAGCCTTCAGGAACCTGTGATGCAAATACCAGCAAAAATGAGTCAGCGTGGGACCATGCAGTTCCTGAGACAGTGCCTGGTCCTGTGCTGGCTCCCCTACATCCTCAGCCTTGGCAGAGTCATGAGAAAAAAGGCAGACACATGGAAGTGAAGGGTAGCAACCAGCTACCTGGTTGATTCTCCTGAAAAACATCAAGATAATGGAAACCACACAATGACCAAAAAGCTGTTGCAGGAGTACACTAGGTGACATATGACTCACTGTGATATTGTATCCTTTCCTAAAGCAAGGAGAGAAAAGGCAAGGAAAAAAAAAAAAAAAAAAAGATGAAGTGATGGGAAATCCGGTCAGCAGGGGCTAGTCGGTGATGTAGTTACTGGCTGTTTCCACACCCACTCCATAGGGTAAATGTAGGCAGAAGAAGTATGTACTGGCTTTGCTACTCTTCTGTTTTTGAAAAGACTTTATTTTCTGTGTATGAGTTTTGCCTCCAGTGTGTCTGAATCTCTGGAAGAGCAGCCAGTGCTCTTGACTAATGATCTACCTCTCCAGCCCTTGCTACTTTTAAAATTGAAAGTTATTTCTTTTGTTCTTTTTGTTTTTGTTTTTGTTTTGTTTCTGAGACAGGCTCTCCCTATGTAGCCTTACAGTCATGATCCTCCTCCCGGGAGAGCCGCGCTGGGGCTAGGATTACAGGTGTGCTCCTCTACACGTATCTAAATCTAAAGGGATTCTTAAATGAAAGGTCTACAGTGCCTGGGAGAGACTCAAATTGGAAGCTCCCTCACAGCTTTTGGGTGAGCTTGCCTTGGAAGAGGAATGCTGCGTAGTCTCCACTCTGAGAGAGTTCCATCTTCACACAGGTACTTTGCTTGCTGGTATCATCCTGAAAAGAGGTGCCAAAGAGTGAGTGCTGGCTGCTAAAGGGGAGGAGCATAGGGCAGGGGTTCCTGTGGGTCACATCAGGACAGGGGTCTTCCAGAAGCTTGCAAGATGCCACACATCACTTCTCATTTCCATCTTTGTCCAGGGACTGGACAAGATAGCATGTGAAGAAACGGAGCTTGCTGTAGACATACTTCCTCACGGGTCATGGAATGCTATCAGATGTGGTTTGCAAACCCTAAAGTCGATTATTCAGCTGAGTCAAAGTAAGTTCTGAAGACTGGTGCTTGTCAGACAAAGCCTCTAGCCACTCTACAACAGAAGCTGGGTGTAACCTTGGAATAAAGCTCCTTCTATTTGGGGCCAACTGAGAGAGGCTGGGTGATGGGTTTGCTACCTTGTAGGAGCTTGAGAGCTACTAAGAAAATAAGGTGGCTATACCAAGTTATATTGGTAAGCTCCCTAATTTGTTTAAGAGTAAACAATTTTTAATCTATCTCAATATCTATCAACTTACTACAAAGATTTTCAAACATACAAAAAGAAAGTGGTAAATCAGTTTCCCATGTGGCCCTCATAATGCTCCACTGAGCCTGTCCAAGGCTCCATTGTGTTATAGCACAGCTCCAACTATAACATAAAAACGTTCAATTGTGAGTCATAGTGCAGCTCCATTACCTCAAAATGCTGACTTGTGCCAACACAGTGCTTCATGGTGATACTACAATGATGCATTGTGACATCACAATTTTCCATTCTGTAATCTTAATGCTCTTGTGATATCATAGTGGTCCATTGTTCTGTCATAATATTGTACTGTGGTGCCACACGCTGGACTATGATAAGATAATGTTCCAGGTCATTATCAGAATGTTTCATTGTGCTACATTGTGTCGTCAGAATACTGCACTGTGGCATTATAATTCTTCATTGTGTGTGACAACAACACTGCTTTGTGTTATCATAATAGCTTACCATATTATCACAATTTTGCATTTAAACATCATAATTCTGCATTGTCCCATTACAATGTTAGATTTTGTCACCACAGTGTTGCATTGTGATATCATAAACTCCACTGTAACATCACATTGCCCTCAAATTATGTCACATTGCTTAACTGTGCTGTCACTATGTTGCATTGGAGAATTTGTGATTGTGCCACCAAATGTTGTAAAGTACATTAAAATGCTTCTTTGAACTATCACAATGACGCATTGTGACATCACTATACTGCACTGTAACATCACGATGACGCATTGTGACATCACTATACTGCACTGTAACATCGCGATGACGCATTATGACATCACTATACTGCACTGTAACATCACGACGACGCATTGTGACATCACTATACTGCACTGTAACATCACGATGACGCATTATGACATCACTATACTGCACTGTAACATCACGATGACGCATTATGACATCACTATACTGCACTGTAACATCACGATGACGCATTGTGACATCACTATACTGCACTGTAACATCGCGATGACGCATTATGACATCACTATACTGCACTGTAACATCACGATGACGCATTGTGACATCACTATACTGCACTGTAACATCACGATGACGCATTATGACATCACTATACTGTATTGTAACATCACGATGACGCATTGTGACATCACTATACTGCACTGTAACATCACGGTGACGCATTGTGACATCACTATACTGTATTGTAACATCACGATGACGCATTGTGACATCACTATACTATACTGTAACATCATGATGGCGCATTATGACATCACTATACTGCACTGTAACATCACGGTGACGCATTGTGACATCACTATACTGTATTGTAACATCACGATGACGCATTGTGACATCACTATACTATACTGTAACATCATGATGGCGCATTATGACATCACTATACTGCACTGTAACATCACGATGACGCATTGTGACATCACTATACTATACTGTAACATCACGATGATGCATTATGACATCACTATACTGCACTGTAACATCATGATGGCGCATTGTGACATCACTATACTGCACTGTAACATCACGATGACGCATTGTGACATCACTATACTGTATTGTGACATCACTATACTGCACTGTAACATCACGATGACGCATTGTGACATCACTATACTGTATTGTGACATCACTATACTGCACTGTAACATCACGATGACGCATTGTGACATCACTATACTGCACTGTAACATCACGATGATGCATTATGACATCACTATACTGCACTGTAACATCATGATGGCGCATTGTGACATCACTATACTGCACTGTAACATCACGATGATGCATTGTGACATCACTATACTGCACTGTAACATCACGATGACGCATTATGACATCACTATACTGCACTGTAACATCATGATGACACATTATGACATCACTATACTGCACTGTAACATCACGATGACGCATTGTGACATCACTATACTGCACTGTAACATCACGATGACGCATTGTGACATCACTATACTGCACTGTAACAATATTGCATTGTGAGTCTACAAACCTCTACTGTGCCACTGCAATGCTACATTGTAGCATTATAGCTCCATTGTAACAACAAGAAGTTCTACTGTATCATCATGATACCTTGTGGCATCACAATTTTAGTTGTATTTATTACCTTCCAAACCCAATAAATTGTTAATATTTATTTAAGCCCACATTATGAATTCCCAAATAAAGCTAATAACTAATTGGTCTTTCGGGTTCCTCATAGAGGTTATTAATATCTTTCACAATTGCTATGCTCAGATCACAATCAAAACAAAGCTCACCAGGAATGGTGGTGCATACCTTTAATCCAGAGATGGGTAGATCTCTACAAGTTCAAAGATGGCCTAGTCTATACAGCACATTGAAGACCAGGCAGGGCAACACATAGAGACCCTGATTCAAAAAACAAAAACAAAAGCCCCAAAGTCCATGGACTGGAAAGAGGGCTCAGTTGGCAAAGTGCTTGCCATGCAAGCATGAGTTTGGATCCCTGCATTCATGTAAAAAGTTGGATATAAACTGTCAAAATATAAATTTGATGATGATGATGAGTTGGCGGCAGCAATGTGTGACTGTAATCCCCACACAGGGAGGTGGAGAAAAGAAGGACCTTAGCTGGCTTCTCCAGCTGGTCTAGTCAAAACAGCGAGCTACAAACAGATTTTGTGAGATCCTGTGCCTAGTGAAGGTGGAGAGTGAGTGAGGAAGACACCAGAAGTTGTCCTTTGATGCACACTGATCACACACACACACACACACACACACACACACACACACACACACACACGTCAAGCTGCAATTAAAAACCTGCAATTACTATACTTTTGAGAACTTGTTAAAAAAATGTGAAGAAGTCCAGTCCCACAGTGGAGATAACCAACTCCTGAAAGTTATCCTCTGACCTCCTCCTATGTACAGTGGCTCTATTCTCTCTCTCTCTCTCTCTCTCTCTCTCTCTCTCTCTCTCATGCACACACACACACAAAACCAACTTCTTCTACTTTCCATTTCATGACCATATATATTATGTGTATGTGTACATACACATGTATATATTTAAATGTATGTATCTTTGAGAGTATATGCTGTGTGTGTTGTGGGTGCCCAAGGAGTCTAGAAGAAGGTGTCATATACCTGGGGTTGCCTGATGTAGGTACTGGGAAGAGCAACAGGCACTCTTACTGGCTAAGCCATCTCTTCAGCCCCTGCATTTGCATCCTTCATGCCTTGGGCATTTTCATGTCCCAGTTCTAAGGCTCTGTGGAAGCTGTTGACATGCCATCATATCCCTTAGTGAAAAGTGGGACTTGCCTTATCATATATGTCCCCACCCAAACTTTTCATCCAGTCTCATTGACTGATGTGACTTCACAGAGCCTTGCGACCATCAACTGGCTGCTCTGTTACCATAGCAGCTGGTATTCACCAAGAAGGAATCTAAGGTGGTTGTAGAATAGTTAGAGTTTCAGTGGAGTTTTTCTTGGCATGGGATTAATTTCCTTGTTCCTCCGCAGACTGTGCTACCTTCTGTGTTTCTTCATCCTTGAGCAGTTCTGCCGTTTCTACACTGTGCTCTGGGGCAGCCCCCGTCTTACCACTGGGACCAGAAAGCCAGGTAGAAGGAAGGCATTTGTTTTTAATCTAGGACAGTTATTCTAAAAAGTAATTTAAAAATTACTAGAGGTTGGGGTGCCCATTTGTTTGAGAAGATTTTCCAGCCACAATGACAGAGGTGGTTTGTAATGACCATCTGGGAAGGAAAGTCCATGCATGTCAAATGCAACACAGACACCATCTGGGACCGGAAGAAACTGGAGTAAGATTGCTCTTCAAAAGTGGAACACAACTTTTAAGGACCGTGTGTCTTTGGAGATTAAAAAATCCATGAAGGGATGAACCCGAAGCTTTATTACCAAAAGAGGGGACTTCTTTCCCTTGCGCAGCCTTCCTCACCTGACAACCGGCATAAATGCCATTTTAAACAGTTCACATAAATAAAAACTGCAATGCTGGAAAAAAGCACTTTTGAAAGTGTGTGTGTGTGTGTTTGAGAGAGAGAGAGAGAGAAAGAGAGAGAGAGAGAGAGAGGGGAAGTCAGACTCAACTTCAGGGAGTCTGTTCTGTCCTTCCACCATGCAGGTCCTAGGAATGAACGCAGGTCATCGGGCTTCAGGCTTGGCACCAAGCACCTTTACCCCCGAGCCTTCTTGGGCCTATTTGTTTTTAGTATAATTTTCATTTGCATCCTGGGTACAAGTCTTTTACCAGGAATCTGCTTTGCGTAACCTAATTGGTATTCCCCAGCTGAAGTGGAAGAACAGGAACTCACCATTTCATTGATGGCTTTGATGAGAAAAAGACTGTCTTTATTCAAGTAAAACAATCTAACAATACCTGGAACGGAAAAATAAGAGGCTGTGAGCTGGGGAGCCAGGCAGGGTCGGGAGCGTCTGACTTTAAACTCAGTGCCTGCTTTGCTGGCCCAGGTGGCCTATGGTGCTCTTTGTCTCCCATCTTTCCTCCACCTCATTTTGAAATACTCATTTGCTCTCCCTCTCAGTCCCCTCCCACTTAGCTGGTGTTTAGCTGGTGTTACCCACAGTTCCTGTAAGTCTCCTGTAAACCACAGCAGTCTGTCCTGCACTCCAAGTCCTACACTGGCCACTATCACACACTCTTCACATTGGCGCCCAACTGTTTGCCCCAACTGTTTGCTGTGAGTGTGTTGGGTCCCTAAGCTCCTTTGAGAGAAAGGATTATCCCTCATCTTTCCATGTGTCTTAACCCCCTAGGCTCCCTATGTGATTAATTCTGTTGAATTCAGGATGCAATTGTTACCTACTGTGGCTTCTTATCTTCCTTTAGTTGCCTCCTAGTTACTCATAACCTGCCTTTGCACCCACGATAAAGACAGATCACATGAAGGCGCTTGGCCCACTGTGGGTAAATTCTAACCCATCCTAATAAAGAGTCATGGCAAAAGTATTCCCTGACACTGTTCAGGGGATGCCAAGGCAGTCTGCCTTCAAAGTCATCAAAAGAAGGTAACACAGACATAAAACCACCTGGTAATGGATCATAATGAATGGCTTTTTCTTTAGCCCAAAGCCCCCCTGTGTCCTACACAGATATCTCCAGGTACCTCAAATCTGTGGGGGTTCAACTGGACTTCTTCAACTCACATGCCCTGAGCACCTTATTCTCCTATCATTGTTATCAAGGAATGGCACTGTCATCCACCCAGGTATCCAATGCAGAAAGGAACCATCCCTGCCTATGCTGTCCAGCACGACTCCTTCCCCATAAAATAGGTTTATCATTAAGTCTTTTTGGTGGAAAGGGTAATTGAGACAGGCTCTCAGTAATTCAGGATGGCCTCCAAAACCTATGCGTAGCTGAGGATGAACCTGAATTCCTGATCTTCTTGCTTCTGCCTTGCAAGTGCTGGGTTGCATGTGTGAGCTGCAATCCACCATTATGTCTATTGCATTCCCCTTTCCATTTAAAGAAATTAAAATTTTTATTACAACTTATTTATTATTAGAAGAGGGCGGCACTTGTGCCACACAGGCAAGTGGCAGTCACAGGGCAACTTGCAGGAGTCAGTTCCCTCCTTTCACCAAGTGGGTCCTGGGGATCAAAGTGAGGCGTGGCAGCAAGTCTTTCTAGCTCACTAGGCGATCCTGCCAGTTTTAAGCTTTTGTTTTGAACTAATTTTACACCTAGAGGAAAGGCACAAACACAGAGCCAAGGAGTCCTTGCACCTTCCACCTCACTTCAGCACACTCACATCTTGAACATCACAGCACAATCTTCTTTTCCCTTCACTAGCCCCTGTCCTGGCTCAGACCTTCAAAGTTTCTCTCGTAAATGAAAACAGCGATCCTTCCTGCATAGTCCCCCAGATCCCCACTTTCTGTCTTCCCCCCTCATCCCTTCTGGTTTTGGCTTTGTTGTTTTCTTTTGGTTTTTCTAAGACAGGGTTTCTCTGGGTCTTTGGAGCCTGTCCTGGAACTCACTCTTGTAGACCAGGCTGGTCTCGAACTCACAGAGATCCACCTGTCTCTGCCTCCCAAGTATTGGGACTAAAGGTGTGCACCACCACTGCCCGGCTTGGTTTTTGACTTTTTATAACTATGGGAACTTCAATGTACTTGTGTGGGTGAAACTGGGTAGCAAGGCTTTGTGTTGGAAGAGTATGAACTTGGGGGCTATCCTGGTTTAAAACTTCCTTGTGCCATTTATTTCTGTTTACCTCAATTATTTAACCTCTTTGCCTCAAGTTGTCTCTTGCAAATGGATGATGATAAACTACACTTCCCTTGGACAGGTGAAGAACCAAATCAGCTACGGTATGAGAAACGTTACACTAGGCCTGGCATAACTTACTTGTAATGGAGATAGGTGGTAGTTACAACTATATGAGAGAGAACTCGACATGCTTGATTCCGCCCATATTTGGAAAAGAGATTAAACGAAGAAAAACAAATACCTAGTTCATCCACGGGAATGATAAGTACTTCATTCCCCAAATCCATGGCCCAGATGGAAATAACATCAACTTTAAACTTCTCCCAAACATATATTTTTTTGAAATTTTGCAGATTATAGATTGAGAATCCTTTGGCTCCTCCAATAAACAGGTAGTCTTGTGAAACAGCCATACCACCAGGCATTTTGTTGAGCTGGGGAAAACACAGACACAAAAAGACAAAACTAATTCCATCAATGCCATCAAGCAATCTGAGCTAACTTTTCAAAGAGGGCTCTTCCTAGACATATAACAGCCAAACGTGTACCTGTTGAAAATGCTTGCCTTATGCATTTCCCTATGGGGGAAAGGAGCCAGAGAAAACAAAAGTTGAGACTTGATATATACCCTGGACATGAGCATGACTGCAGGCCCTGTGCTTTTTTTAAATCTAGTGTCCTGTGGGAAGATCAACAGCTGAATCCCTACAGTTCTCAACTACCAAGCATGCAGGGGACCTAATACACTAATGAAGCTTTTCAGTGTCAATAACATAACATAAAGGGCCCTTGTGGAGTTGTCAACTAACCACAACACCCCATTTCTCACAGGCAACCCTTACTCAGGCATTTTCGTTAACATTCAAATGAAAAAACAGCCTGGATTTCATACCTGGATTTCCGAAACTGGAAGGTAGATGGTGGGCAGGATGCGGTTTTTCTCAATTTCCCGTAAAGCTTCTCTCTCCTCAATAACTTCCCATGAGCGGTCAAAGAGGTGGTTCACCAGCTTGTTGATCATTCGGTAAGGCTGAGGCAGGGAGTCTAGCTCTTGATTCCTGTCCCAGAAGGCAAAATCCTTCTCTTCATCCTTAGGCCAGTCTGCCTCTGTTGGAGAGGGAATCTCCAGTGGTCCCTTGGCAAGCACAGATGGCCTTGGCTTCCGAGTCTGATTTCCTTTGAATGATGACATCACAACAGGTGGCACCAAGAGCTTCTGGGAACTCAAATCTGAGAAGCAGAGGGAGCAGAGAGACTTTGAGAAAAAAGGTAAACAAGAAGTTAGTCTTCCCAGCACAGCATCCCATAGGACCGGCTGTCTCAGACTGGACTGCCTTATGTATCGTAGGATTGCTACCACATGCCTGGGATATGGTCTTTATATTCACGTGGGTATCAGAAGGGACAGTTCTCCCAGGCTAACCCAAGATAATGTGCATTCTGATGGAAGAATTTGGCATGCTATTGTCTTTCCTTCCCTCCTGATAGGATAAGTAACTATGTTCCAAATGTTCCAAATGAAATTCACTTAACGACTAATATCTTTCCCTAGTTGTCTGCCTTTGCAAATGGCTCTGGTCAAGCCACCTAGTCTCCCTGTCTCTTTCCTCAGGCACAATCAGGTGCAGGTGGTGTAATCTGTTCCATTAGCAGTATCGTTGGTGCCCCTGCCCCCCCCCCCCCGATCTCTGTAGGACCCATGTCCTGCATGCCCTGCATCTGTGCAATTCTTCAGGAGTCTACAGAGATGTCTGGGATATGGAGAGAATAATGACTAAAAGCCTGCACAATCAGAATAGTTAGATATTTCTAAAGTAGTTATAACAGCAGCTCCCTTCTACAGGAAGGGAACAAATAATCTATATTTCAAAAACTTCAAAGTTGTGTACAAGTCTGTATAATGGAGATTTCAAATGTTATCATTTGAATTACATTTTCCTGTGCGCTCTCTCTCTCTCTCTCTCTCTCTCACACACACACACACACACACACACACACACACGTGTGTGTGCGTGTGCCATAGAGCATGTGTGGTGTGTGTTTGAATAGGTATGGCTCTCGTAGCCTCGTGTGTTTGAATGTTTAGCCCATAGGGGGTGGCATTATTAGGCTTGGTCTTGTTGGAGTGGGTGTGGACTTGTTAGAGGAAGTGAGTCACTGTGGGGAAGGGTTTTGAGGTCTTATATATGTTCAAGCTATGCCCAGTATACAGTCTCCTCTTCTGCTGCCCATGGATCAAGATGTAGAACTCTCAGCTCCTTCTTCAGCACCACATCTGCCTTATTCTACCATGATAATAAGGACTGTAAAGCCCAATTAAATATTTTCCTTTATATGTGTTGCTGTGGTCATGGTTCTCTTCATAGCAATAGAAACCCAAACTAAGGTAGGTAGGGTTCAGAGGACAACCTGCACGAGTTGGTTCTCTCCTTCCACCATGTGAGTCCTAGAAATTGAACTCAGGCTTGGTGGCAAATGCCTTTATCCAATGAGCCATCTCACCAGCTGCTGTCATAGCTTTAAAAACCATTTAATGAGAAAATTTGGAGGCATTTTAAGATGCTTAATTCAGAGCAGAATGGTCTTATATTGAGAAAGTGGTTGTGGTCTGTGCAAGTCCTGTAAGGATACAGCTGCTATCATGGTTTTTCCCTATATGCTGGAGAACATATGTGATGCTTCCAGTACATGATGGATGAGGCTGGCTGATCCTAGGGCAAGTACTACTTGAGGGCATTAGTAAGGACAGTAAGTTGAGCTCATACAGAACCAGGAATAATGTGGTTTCTTTAACCAGCTAGACCAGACAATTTTATAAGTCACAAACAGAGAGTAGAGCATTCGGAAGAATCTGGCCTTGGTGGTGGGAAACATAAGTGCAAGAATGAATTGTTGCACTGGAATCACTCACATGGAATTATTTTCTAGAATAGAGAAGACCAAACTGTCTTTATGTAACTTAACTTTATCTCAGAACAAAGATTGAGAACTTTTTATAAGAATACAAAAAATCAAACCAAACTAAAAAAATCCAGCATCACTTTGCAAATGCCACTGTCTGCTGCTGCTTGCTGCCATTCGCGGTCAGACACTACCAGTGTCTGAAGCAAACAGTCCTGCCATCTCATCCATGGTGGATGCTGGACCAAACATACAGTTTTCAGTTTTTGTTCTGCACAGTAAAGACTGAGCTATTGGATGGTAAACTGTGGTCTTTGCAAAGGTGAAGGATGGAAGCCACGGAGCACTTTGGGTCCAGGAAAGGCAAGATCAACAGGATCACCATTGCTGACTCTAGAAAGCTCTGGGACTGTTTGTTGTCACTATTGTAGCTTTTGGTGTCCTGGAACTTCCAGGGTAGATCCATCTGCCTCTGTCTCCTGAGTGCTGAGATGGAAGGAACTCTGATACTTTTGACTTGTACATCTTAACCAGCCTCTAACATCTGATTTGCTCACAATATCCCATGAGTTTTGCACCCTTGCTGCATATTTCTCTCTCTCTCTCTCTTGACAGGGTTTCCTCTATGCAACCCTGGATGTCCTGGAACTTGCTCTGTAGACCAGGCTGGCCTCAAGCTCACGGAGATTCACTGCCTCTGCCTCCTGAGTGCTGGGATCAAAGACGTGTACCAGCCCCACCCAGCTCCATACATTTTTATTGCAGAGGTGAGTTTATGGTTATGAATTAAAATTAAATAACCATCATCTCTAATAGATGATAATGAAAAGATTGAAAAACCCAGCATCCAATGATATGAAATCAGCAATGTTTGGGACACAATAAAAAGGACCTAGCATGTGGTGGACAGTCAAGAATGTAAGCCATAACTGGGAAAAGATTTTCACCAATCCTATATCCGACAAAGGGCTGATCTCCAAAATATACAAAGACCTCAAGAAACTAGACAACAAAACACCAAATAACCCTATTTAAAAATGGGCTACAGAACTGAAGAGAGAATTCTCAATAGAGGAAATCAAAAAGGCTGAAAGACACTTAAGAAAGTGCTCAACATCCTTAGCTATCAGGGAAATGCAAATCAAAACAACTTTGAGATACCATCTTACTCCTGCCAGAATGGCTAAAGTTAGAAACACCAATGACAACTCATGTTGGAGAGGATGTGGAGAAAGGGGAACACTCCTCCACTGCTGGTGGGAGTGCAAACTCGTACAGCCATTTTGGAGATCAGGGATGGTTGATAATGTTGATCTCAGAAGCAGGGGAGTCAGCAGTGATGACTTGGACCCCAAATGCCATAATACCAATCTGTGCTTTGCTTACTGGTGCAATAATGGCATGAATATTATGGCATAACCATTTCTTGTTTCTGATTGGACCAGAGGCCCACTCTGTAGGAGGGAGCACTGTGGACCTGGCTGAAGCTTGGTGACTAGGAAGATCATAGGCAGTAGGAGAAAACCACTACTTTTGTTTTGTTAAGTGGATATGTTGTCAAACTGCTTTCTAAGTATATGTATGCCCATAGACCAATGCTGTCCTCAGACTTGCTCAACAAAGCTTCTCTTAGCAGTGAATTGTGGTTAATGCAAAGATTCGTGGCTGGCAAGGTGCTGAGAACGAGTGATTGCTAAATGCTTAGCCTTAAATGAGACACCCATACCACCCTCTCCAATGCTCAGGGAACATTTCAAAAGATGGAGTGGAAAGAACACAAGGACCAGACAGTAGAGACAGGAGGGTTGCTGTGCTGTGAAATGGTATCTTAGGAGCATGGCATGGCTGTGGCACTTCCAAACTCACGCAGCTACAGATGCTTGCACAGAGCTTGCACAGGACCAAGTCCTTAAACATCAAGTCATAGATGGAGGCGGGTCTCATGAGGCCCCACCCCACATCACCCAGGAGAATTAAGGGCTGATGAGGGCGAGGAGGTTATAGTCTTCAGTGATGTAGCCACAGGATGACAAGTGGCCCATGGAATAGCTTTATACCCATGCCCATGGGAGTTATATGTCACACAACACAACAAACTCATGAAAGTGTGTGGGTGTGTGGGGGTGTTGGTGGGAGGAGGGAGGGTGATGTTGAGCATGAGAGAAGGGTAAGAGGCTGGAGGTATGACTGTGACCAGGACGAATTATACAAATGTATGAAATTGTCAAAGCACAAACAATTTTTAAAAGAGTTTCATGGCTTCTTAAAAAGTTAAACATATATGCAGGACAACAGTCCAGTCATTCCAGTTCTAGGTGTGGAAATGAAAACACTTGCCAGCCTTATGCACAATGACTGCATTATTTCTAGGAGCACCGAAGCAGAAACAATTAGATGTTTTACCACTAGGCAAGCAGATGAACTCTCACACTCCCAGTGGGAAAATGAAACAATACAGCTGGGGTGTAACATGGCTTGGTAGGTTCTTACAAAGTTAAGCCCTCTTTATGATTCGCCAGTCACGTTTCTACATATTGAAACAAGAAAAGTAAAAAATTAAGTGTCACCTCAAAATCTGTACTGAAATACAGCCATTTTATTTGTAATCGCCCCAAACCAGAGATCACACAAGTGCACTTCAGCAGGTGAAAAGGTAACTATAAAAACCACCAAGTCCTGATATGTACAACACGAATGAAGCTCAAGTGCATTATGGCAAGTGAAATAAATCAGAAAAAAACACATGTTATAATTACATTTCTATGATAGTGTTGAAAATTTGGGAATGCATAGAAAACTCATGATCTAAATTTCTCTGTAGAGGGAACAGAACCTATGTTCACCTCTGTTACCTGACAGTTCAACATGTTGTACTCATAAATATATTGTGGTTCCTGGGAGGTCAGCCTAGCAGAGTAATTAGTACTTAGCCAGTAATCAACACACTCTTTCTGTTTGTTATACAGCCATGCCTAAAGGAGCAGCCCTGGTTAAATCCACTATGTCGCAAAGTAACAACCCCCCCAATAAAGACATAAAAGTAGGGCGGGGAGTTGGTGTGGGGAGGAGAGGGGATGGAGGGTAAGAGAAGGATGGCTCATTTTTTTCTCAGTGGCACTTTCCTCAGGAAAGGATTTGTAATTCATGGAGACAAGATAAAATCCTTACCTAAAACCTTACTTCCCTCTTCTAGTCAAGTCCATGGAAATCACTTCCCAAATGATACCAGGGTCTGCATAAGCCTTTCTCAGTTTCTCCTGGAGGGAGAACCAGATGCCAATGTCAGCACAAGTAGAATTAAAATGTAGCTTGGACAATCCCCACATTTCTTGCAAGGCCCTTTTCAGCAAGAGATTAGAGGAGGACTGGGAAAAGTCTGGGAGCCGTTTCTCACTATATGGCCCAGCTGTGTTTGTGGATATTTCAAGGAGTCTTACAACTCTAAAAGTCAGCCTGGCTTTCTATGTTATTGTGAGAGCACATGTCAACCCAGGAAACAGAACACTTACCAGTTTTTACCTGTACAACTTTCAAATATCTAGACATAGTGTATGGAAGCTGGAGTGTACTTTTACCCCAGGCCTGCAGGTGTTAGGGATAGGTCCGATGCAGGGAATAAAGACAGAAAAGTGGGAGACCTCACTTTGTGGCTACAGAGAGTAATCTTATAAAATTACCCCCAAGAGGCTGCTTGCAGGGCTTCTGTTAGGAGCTCTGGGCTCATCTCACTTGTTCTCTGAAGCTCCAGACATCATGCTGGTGCTTGCCAACCTCCACTGCAAAAAAGCATAGCTTTCTCTCTTCCTCTTTCTACACCTGGATGCTGCTGAGATTTATACTTTGGCTGCCTGCTGTTTTTCTTTCAGACGCTCAATAGAATTGCTGGCCAGCCTGCTTCCAAGATTGCTTCTAAATTCTTTTACTAATCCACAAAAAGGAGCCTTGATGTTGTCCCTGGTAGCAAGTAGGGCATTAGGAAAGAGTGCCGGACAAGGGAGGGACGAATACTGTGTACAGTGTACAGTGGGGGTGGCCCAGGTCCCTTCATGTATCAGTGAGGTGTAGCACAGCTGGCTAGAGAAGAGTTGCTGAGAGGTCCTGGCGGAGAGGCTCCGGGATGACTGGCAATTCACATGTTAGTTACCCCATCCTTAGGAAAGCACCTCTAGGGGGTCCTCCAAAAAGGTACGGTGACATGGTTGAGTCTGTTTCATCAGAGTCTGGGATGGGGGGAAATCGTGGGAGATGAGAGAAGCAAACAGAAAAACAGGGAAGGGGTAAGTAAGGAGGGAGCAACGGTGAGGAGAAGAAAACTACGAGGTAAGTGAGGCTCCATCCTTAAGTTCCACAGAACCAATGATGCGCAGTGCGGTCACTATGATCTCCTTTGCCTGCGCGTTGTTCATGTTGAGCCTTTTAGGGTTTCCTCAGCAAAGAACCATTCGGTTTTCAATAATCCTAAAAGAAATTTCTCTCACTTTACTCGACTCCCCAGCTAGAAACACACTCTGGGACTGGCTTAGCTCTGTTGCCTGCATCATCAATCGCGTCAGGCCTGGCACAGAGGCATGATCACGCCTGCCATCTCCCAAAGAAGACTTCGGGGTCCTCCGCCAGGGAAGAGCACAGCGTTCCAGGAGGGGTTCGTGGGTACCTGAGCACACCGGAACGCGGGAGGCAGGGAGGACTGACCCACTGTGTGCCTCCACGTGGAGACGAGGCGGGAGGAGGCCACCACCGCCGAGCTTGTGAGACCTAGCTTTGCTCACTCCGACTGGCGGCTTGGGTTGCCTTAGTAACTACTACTTCCGGTCCCAACCGGAAACCTGCAACGCCGCGCTTCCGAAGGTGTGTCCACCCCGGTGTGGGCGGAGAGCCCGGCCCCACCCACTCTGCGGCTCCGCTGACCCGCACTGTCCCCTGGGACCCGCGGAGCCCCAGAGGACCCGCGCGTGGACCCGGCGCGACGCGCGGCTGTGGGTGGGAGCCATGGACGCCTTCGTCCGCTTCGCCAACCAGAGCCAGGGCCGCGACCGACTTTTCAGGTGAGTCAGGTGCCGTCGGCCTCCACCCCTGTCCGCTCCGGACCCAGTTTTTCCCTGTCCTGGGCGTGGGGAAGGAGTTGACAGCCGTGTAAATCGAGGCAGGAGGACGCGGCCAGCTCCCCCTGAGCGAGCTGGGACCCCAGCCTAAATTCGATGGGGCTGTGCACGCCAGCCACCTCCGTGCCTCTGGATGCGATAGCAGCCCATGAGCCCGCCGTGTCTCCTAACGTTCCCCCAGAGAGGGAAACTGAGTCCCCAGCGCTCAGCGTCTTTCCTAGAGATTTCTTTTCGAGGGGAACTTTGGATTTCTTTTGTGCCTAAGGAAGCAGAACACCTGCGGCTCGGAGCACCGCGTGAAGTGCTCGCGGAAACATAGCATTATCTTCCATTTTTTTGGCTCAGCCTGTGTCTTGGAGAGCGTTATTAAAAAACAAAACAAAACCAAAAAACCACTCTGTAAAAAGTACAATGGGAAAAGTGTTTGAACGACACCTCCGAAGTGCATGGTGTACTTTTTAGTGTTTGAAACAAATCCTCCTTCAGTCTTGTTTCAAAAGGGAAATATGAGTGTTGCTCAATGATTATTTAAAAGGAAAGGGAAAGGGAAAAAAAATAGAGGCGTTTTATTTAACAGCTCTTCTCTTCCAGGTGCTTGTGTTCAACCACTAATATAAGCTAAACATATGAGTAAGGAAAATCCTAATAATGAGACTTCAGAGACCAACTGCACCAACCTTCACTGCAGCCTTGTGCAGGAGATACTCCAGTTTCACTTGTAGGGAAAGTGGAGGAGGAGCTTCAGGAGAACTAATGTGCAGAGCCGAGAGAGATGCAAGTCCACACAGCTGACTCCAGCGCCCATCTCTTAACTCAGTCGTGCTTAACTTGATAGGTTTTCAAAATGGTTGAAAATATACACGATTCATTAAAGTCAACACATATAATTCTAGTGTGTCCAGAATGTGCCCTGCAATGTCTTTCAATAAAATAATAATTTAGGATATAAATATTTAGCAAAATTTTATTTCCCAGCCCTTTTAAGGATCTGTGTAACCATCAACAAACTAGCATTTCTAAGGTGATGCCTTGTTTAAGACCCACTCCTATTAGACCAAATCTGAGAGAGGAGGATGTATTGATGTGAGCAGTTGAGCCCTCTAGCCAGAAGGTGGATTCTACCTTCTACTCTCCCTCATTTTACTTCATTACCCCAAACTGCCCATCATTGTGGGAAATGTACCACTTTGGGGAGGATTTATTCATTTATTTTGAGAAAAATCCTACTTTGAAGCCACTACAGTCCCTTGTTTCAGCCTTCTGAGCACTAGAAGTATAGGCATGAGCCAGCAGCCCTGTGCCAGTTTTACTGAGAATTTATATCCTACGGGGATTCAGGTGCAGTTCTAAGACGGTAGGGACCACCAGACAGTAGGGATTTTTGTTTGTTGTTCTTTTGTTCTGTTTGAGACTGGGTTGCACTATATAGTCCTGGTAAGCCTGAAATTCTCAATGTAGACCAAGCTGGCCATGATTACCTTCCTCTGTCTCCTAAGTGCTGGGAGTAAAGATGGGCACTATCACACCTGACCCGGAACCTGCTTTTTACTAAGTAGGCTGCAGATGGGTTTGGATGTTTGTGACTCTAATTTATTATATTTATTGCCATTGCTGGTATAATAATCATTTTATTGGGTGTACAGTATGCTGAACAATTTTTTTATAAAATACTATTTGATTTGAAGGACAAACACTATAGCTGCTAACGTGTATATTGGTGTGTTAATAGACTGGACTTTTCAAACAAACAAACAAAAGACTGTACTTTTCACTTGGCTTTTGAGTTTGTTTCCTGTCGCATAAATAGTAAGTTTAAGCTATATGATAGAAAAATTCATTTTGGAAATCTGAAAATCATTCTACATAGGGGCAAATAGCCCTGTGGACAGTTTGTAGAGCTGAGAGACATCTCTGTGCAGTGTCTCACCTTGATTTTCATCCATCTTCCTATGACAGTAAAGGGCTCTGGAGGTGCTATGCCCTGCACAGTTCTCTTTCTTAACCTTTGTGTTGCATTACCGTTGCATGTTCACCCTTTGGCCCTCCTATGCAAGAGCTATTGCAGAATGTGGCTTTTGTAAGAGCTTCAACACGAGAAACCTTCCCAGAAATTCCATCTCAGCATGATGTCTCTCTTGGCTTTTAGGGCATATGTTTCTCTTTCCCTTCATGAATCAAATTTTATTTGGTTTGTAAACCATTTTCCTCCTTTTTTTTTCCATTTCAGAGCCACTCAACATGCATGCATGCTACTTAGATATTTGTTAGAGTCTAAAGCTGGCAAAGAGGCCGTGGTAATGAAGCTCAAGAGTCTGGAGTCCAGTGTGAGCACTGGCCGTAAATGTAAGTACCTGTCTCTCGAGGGACAGTGGCTTCTGGTTTAAAACCATCACCCCAGTCCCTGGAATTTACAACATGATTTCAAGATCATCATTTCCATTCACCCAAGTCTACAATGAAACTGGCAGTAACCCTGCCTGGTGACACAAAAAAAAAAAAAAAAAAAAAAAAAAAAACCAAAAGGCTGAGGCTGAATGTTTTCCTATGGACCATTCACAGGTATCTTCCTCTGTTCAAATTTGGTGCTATACCATTTCCTCCTGCACAATCATAGCCAGCGGGGCACACAGTGTATGTGCTAGTTCACTTCAGTTCTAAGACTGTCTTGGTAATGCCCAACCTGAACTTCAGCTTAGCATGAGCCCTTAAGTTCTGTAGGACAGGATAGCCATATCCTAGACCACATGCCTTTTCCTCCTCATCTATTGAAGATTAGTGGAGGATCTGAATGCATGTATTTTCTTAGTTTGCCAGGTAGTTTCATGTGAAAGGGAAAGAAAGGCAGGGGTTTTCGCTGATGGATATTCTTCCATACCAATCACCCTGGGAAAGCCCATGCTTCTCACAACAATTGCATGTCTGACTCCATTGTCTGTTGAAAAGCAGATGTTTCAGCAGTAGATCAGCACATATACTAGAATGGGATGTAGACCATCCCATATTGATGAGTTGTTTTGACTACCTACTTCATGTAGGAGCATCCCTCGGCTTTATGGGGAGATAAAAATCACATTACAAATAATATGGCTGGGGCAGAGTAAAAAAATATTTTGAAGGAGATAGGATTTGAGCTGTGGCTGGAGAAACAAAGTCTTCTGAAAGGTAGGCTTCCCTTAGCAGAGGCTCAGGACTGTTGGAGTCAAACCATTGTCCTGGAGGATCAGTGTCAAACCAAAACCTGGTTTGGCAGAGAAAGAAGACTTAAATAGACAGGAGGGCTGAGAAGGGTTGGGTAAGATTTCTGATATCTTTGAAGGCCAAGATTGGAAATTCTGTCATAAATTCTCTAGAATGTCATTGCTGAAATGTCCTTTAGAGTTTCACTAGTCTTGAAAATCCAGAAGGTTTTTATCCAATGTCATTCAGCCAACAGTCCCACAAGGTAGAATAAGAACCCGAAACTCCAATTATGAAACAGTCATTTCATATACTTCTCTGTGTGAGCTCAAGTGCTCTTTTGAGATTGAAAGTGTTTGGAGAGTAGCTGCTTCTGGTCATTTACTAAGTCAAATAACCCATTTCTGGGTGCCCAGTAAATACCCATGCATGGATGACCCCAGTTGACTAATTGCATGCTGATGTAAGGGCATAGATTGCAATGGTTTCGTTAGTTCATCTAGGAGCTCCATGTGACTACTGATCACCATTGCCCCTTGTTCCTGCCATTTCCCTGTCCTCTTCTTTCATACTGAGCCAGAGGAAGATGGGCTAATGACAACCAAATGATAATCCTTCTGATGGTGACTTAGCCTCTGTTCTATTGCTGTGAAGAGACACCATGACTAAACCAACTCTATATAGGAAACAATTTAATTGGGGGCTTGCTTACAGTCTCAGGGACTTAGTCCATTATCATCATGGCTGGGAACATGGCAGCAAGCAGGCGTGGTACTGGAAATGTAGCTAAGATCTACATCTTGATCCATAGGCCGAGAGAGAGAAACTGAGACTAAGAGACTGGGTCTGGGCCTGGGCCTAGGATGGGCTTTTGAAACCTCAGTGCCCACCCCTAGTGACACACTTCTTCCAAAAAGGCCACACCTCCTCATCCTTCTAATCCTATCCAAGAGTTCCATTCTCTGGTGACTAAGCATTCAGGGCGGGGAGGGAGTGGACGACATTCTTACTTAAACCACCACAAATTGGAATGAAATGTGTAAGAATGTTGAACATGGAGCTCATGTCAAGTATTGTTTTGCTTGTGAAACATATTGGCACACACCCGTGATTAACCTTGTCTGGATTGTACTGGAAGTGAATGTTGAGCCTTGGAATGGGGGTGGTGAACTGTCAAGGTCACTATCTGTTGGGCTCTGCAGGGTCACTATAGGGCACCTTTCCTCAGCTAGGCCTGAGCCTGGACTGCTGTCAGCTGCTAAGTTCTGAATCCTAACTCGCCACAGGGCTCCCACCTCCCATTCAGTACTAATCAAGTGCTGGTTCTGTGGGTTCCTTTCACAGGGTTTAGACTGGGCAACGTGGTCCATGCTATCCAGGCAACGGAACAGAGCATCCAAATCACGGACCTTGTGCCCCGCTTATGCCTAACACTAGCCAACCTGAACCGTGTGGTTTATTACATCTGTGACACTGTCCTCTGGGTGAAGAGTGTGGGTCTAACCTCTGGAGTCAACAGAGAGAAGTGGCAAATGCGGGCGACCCGCCACTACTACTATTTCCTGCTGCTGAGCCTGGTCCTGGATCTGTATGAAATCTTGCTGCAGATGGAACGGGTGGCCCGGGACAGGGCGAAGAGAGAGAAACCATCCCAGGGCTCTCCTGGTCACAGCGTGGTCAGTGAAGACACGGACTGGCTTCAGTCCTTCCTCCTGCTCCTATTCCGATCTCTGAAGCAGCATCCTCCCTTGCTCCTAGACACACTGAAGAACTTCTGTGACATCCTCATCCCTTTGAACCAGCTCGGGATCTACAAGTCCAATCTTGGTGTCGTAGGACTTGGAGGTCTCGTGTCCTCTGTGGCCGGCCTCATCACGGTAGTGTACCCTCAGTTGAAACTGAAGACCCGCTAGGTGTTTGGGGGCTTTAAAGGTAACAGCTTAGTGGAACAAACTTTGTCACAGGGTCTCACTGTGCTTAGTTGTTTAATCATGTGAGCATCTTATCAACTTGTAATGTGAGAAGCGGGACCAACAATGGAGCATGCAGACTGATTTTTTTAACTGCTGCAGTAACTTCCGAGTTTCTGAATGTTTTCCCTTCAGCTAACATTACTAAGTATTTTTTGTATACATAGTAAGAGCTTAATGTTTGCTAAATCAATAAAAATGGAAAGGAAAGGCATCATAAAAGATCCAAAGACACTAGGCTCACGGGTCGGGTTGTTTGGGTCCCTGATTTCACACAGGACATCAGAGCTGGAGCACTGCACTCCTGGCTCTGGTTAAAGCCTCCCTTCCTCCCATCAGTTACTGTGCCCCATCCCTGCAGACGACTGTGGGGTGGAGGGGAGCTGGCCTTCCAGCCTCTTATCCTGTAGGCTCTGGCCATTGCTGCAGTGTGCCCTCATGTCCAGAGGTTGATTCAGGAAAGCAGCGGGACCTCTGTGCTGTGGGTTGGGTCTGGGTGGAAACCTCTGGAAATGCTGTGAGTAAGCAAAGGTGCCGCAGAGGAGACGGAGGTGAAACTGGGTGGAAGGTCACTGTGGCACCTGTCACACAGTGTGCAACAGATAAGGAAACTGACACTAACAAACAAGACTGAAGTCAGAGGTCCGCTCTGACTTTTTGAGAGGAGTCCTCTGTGCCATCTCACGACCTTCAGCAGCATTTCCAGGCTCAGGAGTCCTTTGCCTTTTGCCCCTCTGCATTCGCCCTCACCAGGCTGGAGACTTTGAAGGTTTCTTGATAAAAATCAAAACAATGCAGATTGATTTTATTTACAGCTACAGAACACTGCGGGCAATTCCACAACCGTTCTTATCAAAATGGGAGAATTAAAGTTTTCCTGTGTGTGAATGTCAGTTTTCTGTGATAAATCAGGTTTGTTTGGGACAGCTGGGGACAACAGGAAGTGGCAATAGGGCACTAGGAGCACTGAGTCAGTGGCATTGCCTGTGTGCTCCTCCCAGTTCAGTGCTCCTATTTGAGGCGTGGGGAGCAGGGAGAAGGGTGACCAGTGCCGCACCTACAGAGCCATGCTCATCATCCAAGTGGAAAGGAGAGACATGCACTGAACAGCTGCGTCCCATAAACGTGAGGAAGATCCTTGAAAAGCAGACTCAGGTCCTTGGCATTCTGTTTTTAAAGTATGTGATTTGGGAAAGCTTTGGGGCATTCTGAGGGAAACTATAAAGTGGCTAAAACAAGACAAACATGTTTAAATAACTGTACTGTAACATGTCATTTATGTCTAATACATTTCTAAATAAAACTGACTCATGCATCTGTGAATATGTCTGGGATTGGAGAGAGTTTAGAGTAAGGCAGTGAGCAGGTGATCCCATCTGAGGAAGCTCAGGGCTGGCAAGGTGCAGGCTGGGAGGAAGGCACAGGGACTATGTCAAAGTTCTTGGTTGAAAAGTTCCCTTACAGATCTGTCCAAACCACCCCTGCCAAGGTAGCCTGGCAATAGCTGGCAGAGAAGCCAGCCTTGAGGTCATGGCAGTGTTTTGCAGATATCTATTTTGGTCTTTGGGTCTTACACATTAGAGGGGGTGGTTGGAGGGTTGGAAACTGCCATCTCCTGGAGTCTGTAAACTCAGTGGGGCCCTGCTACCTCATCCTTGTATCTTTCTCCTTCTCAACTAACTCCTCCTGGGTCCACATTCATGAGGGATTTGGAAAAACTACAAAGCCCCAAGGAGCTGCACATTCACAGTTGAACACTACTGCTGAGGGCTCACTCAGCAAGTGTTTGAGTGCCCTGTTTGGCTTGGGGGACCCACCTGTGCACAGAATGGCAAGATCCCAACTCTCCTTAGTGGAGGGAAGGGAGCAACATGAGATAGCCCACCCCACCCAGGACTGTTGGAGAACTGCCTCTTCCCCCTGCCCCTTTCCTTTCTCACCTTTCACCCACATTCTAGAATCACAGTAGAAGCAGCCAAAGGACCAGCTTTGTCAGCAGAGCTTTTAGGCACAGAGCCCTATAGCCCCTCTGGCCCAAAGCCACTGCCTGAGAAGGCAGACTGCCCTTTAGCCTGGACTGGGTCCAGATGCAAGCCTTCCGGATGATTTGTCCTGGACCTTGAAGTGGGAGCAGAGGCCACTTTACATACTCCCCTCCTTCTCCACAGCTGCCTTATAGTTCAGACCAAGATTGCTAAGTATCAAATGTTTTACTTCTTTATTATTTCTTTTGGAAGCTCCATGCCCCACATTCCCCCCTTTCCTGACATCTTATTCCATTTTATTATATGAAGGTTCAAATTTACTACCACGAACTAATCTGAATCTGTTTCTTAATTCTTATTTCTTATTACATTTATTTATAGAGATAGAGATAGATAGATAGATAGATAGATAGATAGATAGATAGTCAGAGGACATCTTGCCAGAATTAGTTCTCTCCTATCATGTGGGTCCCAGGGATTGAACTCAGATGGTCAGGCTTGGCGGCAATCCCCTTAACCTGTTGAGCCGTTTTGCTGAACCTACTGCTCAGTGCCTTTCTTTTCTCTCATCCGAATTAACAACTTAGCAGAGCCAACAACATGCAAATCTGCTACCAGCTAATATTTAGTGTCCTCTCATCCATTTTCATTGAGGCCCTATCTAGATGGTCTGAAGATACTGGTTGAGACCATAGTGTTCTACTTTAATCAGGAACTAAGATTTGAGCCTGGGCTTGAGTCCCTGTTGAGGAATGAATGACATGTTCTGATAGTTCTTGGCTGTCTGGGTGATATTGGTTGGAAAAAACAAAAACAAATCAAAGCTTATCAACACCATCACTTCTTCAGACTTAGGTGAACAAAACCCAAAGATTTCCTCCTTCCTGTTTGGTTCTGTTGGTATCTTAGGCTAGGTAAAGTCTCTCTCTCTCTCTCTCTCTTACACACACACACACACACACACACACACACACACACACACACACACACACACACACCTTCCTTTCCTCAGTGCTGAAGATCAAATCCAGGGCCTTCAACCCTAGGCAAGTTCTCTGCCACTGAGCTCCACCCCCTAGTCCCTAGCTTTTTGAGACAAGTGCTTGCTATGTAGCTCAGGTGGCCCTCAAATTACCAATCCTGCCTCAGCATTCTGAGTGCTGGGATTCCTGGCATTTGCTACCACAACCAGCTTCAAAATATTTTCTTAAACTTACAGGGGTTAAAACTATTCTCCCAGAGTCAAAATTACGAAGGGCTCAACTCTCAGCTCTATTTTGCCTTCTTTGCAGGTTAATTTATCTTGATAGTCTTAGACTAATACAGTAAGCTGAACACCATCCCTGTGTGGGTTGAAATCATGCTGTTCAGTAGTCATCCTTGCTAGCAAATAATGAAGGGTAGGAGAAATTATATGGAAGTACTGTTCATAGAAACTTTTGGGGAAAGGGACCAAAGATCACAGAATTACATGGAACTTTGAATTTAGGAGTTTAGTGACACAATTACTATTGCCTTCTTTATGGAAAGCGATTTTTGTCATTTGGAAGCCAGAAATATTCTGGAACTATTGTCTCAGGGCTCTGGCATAGGACTCCTTCAGCTCTGTGAGCCACCTCATCATTGGCTAAACGTCCCCCACAGAAACTAGGATGAGCCCAAGGGACATCCTGGGTCAGACGACTATGGAAACAGCCTGGCCCAGCTTTCTCTTCCTCTTTGCCCTCCTCCAGCTGGGAGGTCTGAGAGGCATTGCCCAAGATTCCCTGGAGTGGCTGGAGGATTTCTGTGGAGGGGAGCCGTTCTGCAGCTGGGTTTTCTGAGACTGAGGTGGCAGCCAGCTGCAGTGAGTGTGGGCTTCCCGGGTGGTGGCCCTAACCTGAGTGCTAAGAGGGAAGGAGCTAAGAGGAAGAGCAGATGGGGAACTTACCGAGGGACACAGAGTCTGCAGGGAGACCACTGAGGAAAAGACACAGGTTAAAAGAGCAGGGCACAGAGTGGCCATTGGCTTATCCAGAAGACAGTTTAGGAGAAGGCTTACCTAACTGGCAATATTGGGAAATGGTAATTAGCTAGAATTGTATCATGAAGAAAAAGACTAAATTCTACCTGACACTTGCTTTTTAGTCTCTATGTGACTGCTTTAAGAGCCCCAGACTTCATCTTAACCTTTTCTCTCATTATCTCGTTATCTTTATCTAACTTACCTACACTTTCTTTTATCTTGAGCCCTTAAAAGAAGCATCAATTTTGAGCAGACTATGGAATTCACTTTGAGCAGACTAGGAGACTCACTGTGTCGGGACTCCAAAGAATGGCCTCTCCTATGTGACATTCACTCTGCAACCTAGGGCAGCTGAGCTCCCAGATGAGTGGTGGGTGGCTGTGAGAAGTAGGGAGCCACCCTGTGGAGTGTAAGCCTGTGGGCTTCTGATGGACCTGGGACTCTGCTTTGCAGCCTGAAGAGTAAGGATGGCAATGAACAAGGGCCCAACCTTGATGGATGGAGACCTCCCTGTAAGTAACCTGGGCTCATGTGAGATGGGGAATGGGCAACCAAGGTAGAAGGGGGTGAGCAGAGGGGAGAGCCAGGGGACCTCAGGAAGATGTGTCTACTGTCTGTTCCGAAGTCACTGTCTCATTATTCCACCCCTTGCCACCATTAACAGGTGTTTGGGAAACTAGGAAAGAAAAGATGCCTATGACAGTCTAAGAGCCTTGGAGAAAAGGATAGGGATGATGGCTAAGGAGAGACAGGGAAGGAAATCGCCATGACCTAAACCCTGAGGCAACAGTCCACCACCCAGGAGAGCATGCATGCCATACAGTGCCCATGCATGTTCTGTGACTCTGCAACGTGTCACCTGTGCTGCCATGCATGGGATGAAAGTAGACATTCGTGTGTCCAGCATTTATCTCTGGCCTAGATTTCACCATGATTTTAAGTAATTTTGACACTTTTGTATGTCCTTGATATGCTTTGCCAAGACCTGTCTGATTTGGGTACAGTTCAGACGTTAGTGAGATTCAGAGGTATGACCCTGGAGGAGACTAAAGTCATCCCAAACTACGCTTCAATAGACCTCCCTATTTTGTACTAAACTGTAAGAGGGATGTGAATGGGTCACGAACAAACAAACAAACAAAATGTTAGGTCTTCCTAATGGTTAATGGTTTCTTTCATTCCCAGACCTTTTCTCCTTTAGCTCTGTTTAAAACAAACTTTGAAAGCACTGTCCAAGGCATTAAAGAAGATGCTTCCTCATGTAGTCCAAATCTCTTTCTCCTTCTGAGATCTGATTCACCTGCAGGATGAAAAATTAAAAATAGTGTGACTATTTGGTCCCGGGGCCCACACAGGTCTCCTTGATGGCATGTCACAGGGTCTATCTAAAGTCATACAGAGTTGGAACAGATGGGTCAACCCTGAAGAGTTGCTTCATGCTCCTTTTTCTATGGACAAGTCTTCACAAGACTAGGCAAACGTATACAAGGTCCCAGGGATTGCTGACTAATCCCAAAGGCCATGAACCCACGGCCAATCTGCCACATCCTCGCCCAATTGTTAATTTATTTTATCTTAATTTATTTGGAAGTGCATTCCATATATTCCATTTCAAACCTGACTTGGAAACAGTCCAATATAAGTGACACATGCTTATAATTTCAGAACTTGGGAGGTAGAGGCAGGACAATCAGATGTTGAAGACCAGTCTGGCCTTGGCTACACAATGAGTTTAAGGCCAGTCTGAACTAAATGACACCCTATTCCTTTTTCATTGTTTTTTGTTTGTTTTGTTTTGTTCAGTTTGTTTGGTTTGGTTTGGATTTTGAGATGGATTCTCTGTGTAACAGTTCTGGTTGTTCTGGAACTCACTTTGTAGACCAGGTTGGCCTTGAACTCACAAAGATCTGCCTGCCTCTGCCTCCTGACTGCTGAGATTAAAGTGCTGAGTGTCACTACACCCAGCGAGACCCTATCTCAACACAAAAAATCAAATCAAACCTGACCGAAGTCCTGGCTCTGCTACTTACTATCTGTGTGATCTTGGGTAAGTTATCTCTGAATTTCAAACACTTCACACTGCAAAATACAGTTAGGATTGAGATCAAGGCACCCAAACCAGTACTCTGGAGTGTAACAGCTCTGGAAAATGTTGCTTCCTACTACAAAACCAGATTCATTCTTTCACTCAAAGATTAGGCATTTTCTGCTTGCTAAAGTGTAATTATGTAACTGCTGACAAAACAAAATGTTTTGGTAAGAGTATGGCATCCCAATAACAAGAGATGACCCCACTACACCCAAAAGGTCAGACTCACTGGAGAACCAACTTAAAAATGGAGTGTTGTATTTTAAGAAAGGCCATACCTTTCTTAAAGTGTCAGGAGAAAAGGGTCACAAGCCCATTGTATGACCCACTTATAAACTAACATAGGAAATGTAGCTATTTCCTAAGGAGAAGGGATTTTTGCAGGGATACAAGGTGAAGTAGATTTGTTCAGGGTTGTTCCAGTAGAGCAGGTACAGGGTGTGGAGGCAGACCAGCTCAGCAAAGTCATGCCACCAGGGCACCAGCCATTCTGTGAAGGAAGGCAGCAAGCCCACCCAAGGAGGTTTTCTGGAGAGGATTCTTGCTGAGGAACTCCAGGAGGCCCAAATCCTGTTATTCTGTGTAGTTAAGAAGAACTCTTGGGCATTGTGGCACACACCTTTCATCCCAGCACAGGGAAGGCAGATGCAGGTGGATCTCTGTGAGTTCAAGGCCAGCCTGGTCTATAGAGCGAGTTCCAAGACAGCCAAGCATACACACACACACACACACACACACACACACACACACACACACACAGTGAAACCCTATTTTGAAAAACAAAAACAAGAAAGGTTAAAAAAAAAAAAAAAAAAAAAAAAAAGAACCTACACATTTGGCAAGGCACAGCCCCGTGTATGTGTGAGGCTCATTTTTCCAGTATGAGGCTCATTTTTCCAGGGTTAGTGTTTCAAACAGGCCCTGGGGAAACAGAGGACATTTTACTGGGAGAAAGGTGGCATATACACATAATCATAGCAGGGTGACAGATGTAGAGACAGCCCAAGGACAGACATAGCCATGATGGAGGAGAGTCAAAAGCTGATCGTGTTTATAATCCCAGCATTTGGGAGGTGGAGTCAGTAAGATCGGTAGTTCAAGGTCATCCTTAGCTAATTAGTGAGTTCAAAGCCAGCCATGGCTAATTGAGATCCTGTCCCACAGAGAAGGTAATAGTGAGAGAATAATATTCTACCAAGTAGAAAGAGATGTGGGAGGGAAGGCAAGGCTATGTGGTTCAGCATTTATAGACATGGGCCCAGTATCTCAGGAAGACCACTAAAAAGTTTACATGAAGCTACCAGTTGAAGGTGGACTAACAGATACATTAACTTGCTTTTGGCAGTCAGTCTAAGAGGGGTGAGCTGGGAGGGAGATGGGATTTGGCTTGCACAGATCACCTCGGGAGTTCTCCAGGATTTATTTAGGTAATGACCAGGAAGGCACAGCAGGCAGGTTCATTTTCCCTGTGGGCTCCCTCATGGTCTCATGACTGGACCATTTAGAGAAGCCCTGTTTCCCTTAGACTTTGGCTGGCCTCGCTACCGGCATGCATGACTCTAACTAGGGTCAGCTTGCAGGGAGGTTGAGCAGGGGGTGGGGTGGGGTGGGGTCTAACACTTTTCCTTTGCCTACAGGAGCAGGAGAATGTGCTGCATAGAGTCTTGCAGCTGCCTGTGGTGAGCGGCACCTGTGAGTGCTTCCAGAAGACCTACAACAGCACAAAGGAAGCCCACCCCCTGGTGGCCTCCGTGTGCAATGCCTATGAGAAGGGTGTGCAGGGTGCCAGCAATCTGGCTGCCTGGAGCATGGAGCCGGTGGTCCGCCGGCTGTCCACCCAGTGTGAGTTCTCATAGAACTTGGCATCAGTCTGCCTGCCCACTGATACTCATTCCGTGTCTGCCTGTGTGCTTGTCAGTCTGTCTGGTCATCTCACAAATTGTTTGTCCACCTCCCTTGCTTGCCTGTATCCAACTTCCTGGTCTTCTCATCTGCAGATAGAGAGGCATAGATGCAGATCTCTTTGTGTCTATACATGCCTCAGCTGTAGCCCAGCCTAGGGCAGCCAAATAATTTTCAGGGGGATAAATGGGCAGATCTATGTGCGCAGTAGTGAGTGGAGCCAGAGGCAGACATCTGGCCACACCGACTCCAAATACAACAGAAGGAGCAGTATCATGAACCGGAAGTCTCAGTGAAAGTGGGCCTAGCAGTGCACCAGGAAAAGAAAAGGCCCATTCACCCTGTGGCTGCTGCTGCCAGCTCCCGACCAGTGGGGTAGTGGAGAGCCACCAGGCAGGAAACTGGGGGCAGAAACAAGACTCATCCTGTCTCCATCAGAAAAGGTGGTCTCTAAGACTCAGCTCCACCAGGCAGTAGTGGCCCATGCAAAGCTTTAGTCCTAGCACTCGGGAGGCAGAGACAGGTGGATCTCTGTGAGTTCAAGGTCAGCCTGCTCTATAGAGTGAGTTCCAGGACAGGCTCCAAAGCTACAGAGAAAAACCTGTCTGGAAAAATTCAAAACAGACTCAACTCTTGTCAGGGTTGAGGGAAATCTCAGCAGTGCCAAGAAGTCTAGCATCTTCTATTGTTCTAATAGATTTTGGGTATGTGAGAATTCTACCCAGCAACCAGGCACGACAGACCTAAAGGCTCCATTTCAAATCCTTGGTCTCATAGATGGCCCTAATTAAATTAAGTGAGTCACAAAACAAATTACAGCGAGGGTGGAAGAGAGATAAGAGAAGATGCAGGGATATGTATACAGTTGTCCAAGAAAAACTCATTCAACTAATGATAATAACAAAAATACCACAGGCCCTGGGCTAGCCCCTCGTGGGTACCCTCATTCTGTCTAATCAGAAGGCAGCCAAAGTCATCTGGGATCTTTGCTGTTTCAGAGAAACATGATAGAGTATCTGTAAATACCCTTGAAACCTGTGCCTTCCATGACCTTGACCACAGAGCCTCCATCCTCAGCAGACTAGGGCAGTCTCCCCCTGGAAACACCTGCATCCTCTGGGGCGTGTCCCACTCCTCGGGGCAACTTGGTCCTCTTCCCTTGGCTCCTTTCAGCTGCAGCCATCCTGACAGCTGGGGGTTAAATCTGGTCCTGCAATCTGGAACTGCTCTGGCTGTGACTGTGACTCCATCATCTCCAGAACTAAGCAAGCCCAGGCCTGGTGCCCCTGAGGCCAAGGCCAAAGCCCGGGTGCCACCTGCCTCACTGCCACGTGAACTCTCTCACTTCCTCACACCCTTCCGGAACACTGAACAGGGAGTCTGGGAGGGGAGAGAACAGCATTTGGAAGTGATCACTTCCCACTACAAGTTTGCCCATGCAGCCACACTTTACAAACACAGAGGCGCACGGTTCTGGCTGCTGGCAGAAGGGGGCAGCAGAGAGCTGCTGCCCAGGGCCCTAGAGGTAAAGAATGGAACCCTGTGAGCCTGACCTGGTGTTCAGACCAACGGGACTTGCTAATACTACATGCTGAGTAGGTGCAGGTCTTACCTATTCCAAAATGGCCCTGCTATCAAGGCCTTATAAGTACCTGGGGGCTAAATATAGCAGAGTCTCTGGCCCCAGGCGACCTGGAAGCCTCAGGGCTGGGATCTGTGGGCCCCAGGGTATTTCCTCAGGATGGGGCAGGGATCACCCAACACAGCCTTTCCCTTTCAGTCACAGCAGCCAATGAATTGGCCTGCAGAGGCCTGGACCACCTGGAGGAAAAGATTCCAGCCCTTCAATACCCTCCAGAAAAGGTGAGTCCTCCCTCTTCCATAGTGCTCCCTACACTGTTGTGATCTCCTCTCAGGAAGGAGAGCACCGATGCCCCAGATATTCATGGGGAGAGCACCCTCTTAGGCAGGTGGAGAGCCCTCTTCCTGTTTCTGTGGGGTCAGGTAGAGTCAGGGTGTCTGGGAGAGTAGGCATATGCCTCAGATAAACTCAGACAGGTGCTCTCATGGCCCCTCCATGATTGCACAGCCTTCTGATACTGTGGTCATGGGATCTGGGACTCCATGGGTTTGCACAGGACTATGTGGTGACAACAGCTACAACAGATCTTGGGTCCCTCTCACTGGGATCCCAGGATTACATACATGGCCTTGAGATCCAAACCTTTATGGACCATGAGACTAAAAAAGTCACTTCCCCCTGGCCATACCTTTATCTCCCCTTATCCAGTGCTGGCTTCAGTAAGGCCTATGACCTCATCTATTTTACTGCCCAACCATCAACCTGTCCTACAGATCTGCCCTGAGCCCTGTGCCCTGCCCTTGCCAACAGCCACAACGAGGGCTTTATGGAGCCCTCCCAGGTCATCCTTGGTGATGGGACTTGCTATACTCCAGCCTGAGGTGGAGACCTCCAGGGGGCAGGCCTGCAGCGCACCTCCTCTCTAGTGCTCTAGACCAAGTCAACTCACAGAGCAGGTTCCAGGTCCCAGGAGGAAGAAGGCAAATTACTCCAGCATAAAATAGTGTGCTAAGGGAAAGACAGAGGAGGGGATGCCTTATGTGAATGATACCACCAGGGGAGGCTTCAGGGGCTGTCCTTGAAGGATGGATATTTTATATAGTGTGGAGAAGCCTGGTGGCCTTTTTCTTTCCCACATATTCATGTATTTGCTGGTCCCTGGGTCCTTTTTTAAATTTTTTAAGTTTTAGACAGGATCTTGTACTGTAGCCCAGGTTGGTCTGGATCTTACTATGAAGCCACAGATAGTACCAAACTCATGGTGATGCTTCTGCCTCAGCCTCCAGTCCTTTTATTACAACTGTGTGTCCAGTGTGCCTGGGTCTTTAAATGGGGCGCTCCAGGGAGCTGGGCTCAGGGTCTGTGAGGAGATCCACATAGCTGATTGTCTCCCCACACTCCTCAGATCGCCTCTGAACTGAAAGGCACCATCTCTACCCGCCTTCGAAGTGCCAGGAACAGCATCAGTGTGCCCATTGCAAGTACTTCGGACAAGGTCCTGGCCAGCTGCGAGCTTGCCTTGGGGATGGCCAAAGAAACAGCAGAATATGCTGCCAACACCCGAGTTGGCCGACTGGCCTCTGGAGGAGCTGATCTGGCTCTGGGTGGCATTGAGAAGGTGGTAGAGTTCCTCCTGCCACCAACAAAGGAAGAGTCAGGTAACTGCCCTCCAGACTTGCTGGCTAACCTGGGAACTTGCTGGCCTTGCTCTGGCATAGGGAATGCCCCTCGGAATCTCCAGAGGATCTCAGTCCTTTAGTCCCTCCACCCCAGATGTGAGAGGGAGAAGGAACTGGCATTGGCTATCGCCAGTGGGGTCATGGTAGAAGTAAGGCAACTGTTTTGCAGCCCAAGGCACAAGGCTGAGACCATTTTCTTATTGTATTTATTCTTTCAAATTTTTACGTGTATGAGTGTTTTGACTGCATGTATGTGTATACATCATATGTGACTATTACCTGCAAGAGCCAGAGAAGGACATTGGATCCCCTGGATTTGGAGTTCCAGGTGGTTATGAGCTATCATCGTACTGGTGCTGGGAGTTGAATTCAAGTGCTCTTAACAGCTAAGCTGTCTCTCCAGGCCCCTCAGTCCCTTTCTGATGTTTTCTTCTGTATCTTCTATCCAGCCCCCGCTTCTGGACGGCATCGTGCCCAGAAGCCTCCCAAGGTCAAACCCAGCCTCATGAGGAGGGTCAGCACCCTGGCCAACACTCTTTCTCAACACACCATGCAGACCACTGCCTGGGCCCTGAAGCAGGGCCATTCTCTGGCCATGTGGATCCCGGGTGTGGCACCCCTGGTGAGTGTCTGCTGAGAACTCTGCCTGACCCCTGCTCTGTGGGTTTCCCAGTCCCTCTGTCTTGGGAACGTACTTCAAGCCGGGCTGGGATTTTAGAGGTAAAGACAGGGACTTAAGAGGATGGTGGGCTAACTGCTCATCCTGTGGGAGAAGAGAAAGGACAGGACACAAATTTTGTGGGTGGTCCTGCCTCATTACCTACCCTCTTCTGTCTCCCCAATCCTCCCTCAGAGTCTCTTTAACTCACAATCTTCATGACCCCAAATGGGCCTCTTACGTGGACCTTCCCACCCCCATTTGCTATTAAAACAGTAGAAAGGTCACTTATAAACAAATAAACAAAACAAAAACCCATCCAATGGACGAGAGTCCCAATAGCCCTCACCTCTGACTATGCAGATTTCCAGTCTTTTCTTCTAGGGGCTCCTGACTCCCCAACCACACCCAGGCCAAGCTGCTTCTCCATTCATCTTGATATAGTTAGGCTGCAAGTTTTAGAAGCAAGGGACTTAGTGGGAAACTAAGAAGGGAAAAAAGGAAAGGAAGAAGAAGAAAACACACACACACACACATTAAAGTCAGGCACGTAAGTACATACTAATAATCTCCACACTTGGGATTTCTTCAAGTTCAAGATCAGCCTTGTCTATAGATTATCCAAGGTCTAGACTATCCTAGCTGTATGGTGAGACCCCATTTCAAAAGACAACAACAAAAGTCCCTTAAACAAAGATAAACAGAAAACCAGAGACAAATTAAACGATTAGAACACGGTGATGGAGTCTGGACTGGGCTGTAGCTACGTGGTAGAGCACCTGCCTTGCTTACTCGAGGCCACATACCCGCAGAGCTGCAAGAGCAAGCCCCAGAGTCAGCAGGAAGTGACTGCTCTCCGGTCATGTGAGATGTCCTTTTACTTAATTTCTTTAAACTTTAATTGACTAATTTTTTCTGAGTTAGGGTTTCATCCTGTAGCCCAGGTTAGCCCTTAATTTGTGGCAGTCTTCGTGCCTCAACCTTACAACTGTCGTGTTTGCAAGTGTTTCCCGTCCACACACCAGAATGTGAGTGATAATCTTTTTCAAATTTGATTTTGCTTATTATTACTCTGTGTGTTGTCTCCCCACCCCAGATATGGGGGGAATGTGCTGGGGTCAAAAGACAACTCTTAGGGACTGGGTCACTTGAGAAACAAGACAGAAGGATTCCCTGACCTTCACAGTGAGTTCCTGCCATCCAGGCTTATATAATGAGACCTTGTCCGAAAAAAAAAAACCAAATAAAAATAAACAAATTAGCATCCAGGTTGGGGGTACAGGCTCAAGCTTTGTGCAGAAGAGCCCCCGGATTCCATCCCAACAGTAAAAACGGAAGAGAATAGCCAAAATGAATGCGTGGCTGTGAAGTCAGAATGTGGGGCACAGACTGGGGGATACAGACTGAGGAGAACCTCTTGGGTGCTGAAATATTCTGTCTTCATCTGCTATAGTTACATAGGATGTGCTTACAAAAAGTCCCAGAGTTCTATGCCAACTATGTATGTTCAGTGACAAGCTATTACAAATTAAAATGCTAGGTGGCTTAGTGGTTAAGAACACTCGTTGCTCTTGCAGAGGATCCAGGTTCAGTTCCCAGCACCCACGTGGTGGCTCACAACCACCCAGGACTCCGATTCACAGGGATCTGATGCTGTCTTCTGACGTCTGTGGTCACCAGGCACACAGGTGGCGCACACGCATATTCGTAAAAATGAAATAAAGAAATAAAAACCAACAAATAAATCCCAACCCCTGTGGGAACAGGCCCTGCTCACCACCCGTGCCCCTGCTCCTGTGACAAGGACCTTAGGGCCTAGAGGGGTCCACTGAGCCAGCTCTCTGTGCCATCCTCCCTCAGAGCAGCCTGGCCCAGTGGGGCGCATCAGCAGCCATGCAGGTGGTGTCCCGGCGGCGGAGTGAGGTGCGGGTGCCCTGGCTGCACAACATAGCAGCTTCCCAGGATGAAAGCCATGACGACCAGACAGACACCGAGGGAGAGGAGACAGACGAGGAGGAGGAAGAAGAGGGATCAGAGGCTGAAGAGAGCGCCAGGGAGGTGATGAAGAGAGTGAGAGCCTAAGGCCTCACAGCCCGTGGGTGGGGGTGAGGAGCAGAGGAGCAGGGTAGAATAAAGGATTCTGTCCCCAGGTCTCTTCCAATCCAATCGCTGTGTCACTCAGCGGGTTCCACAACACCCACAAAAGTAGGCAGGGCAGCCATTGCTGGTCCACTTTTGCAGACGAGGAGACTGGGGTTCAGAGAGAGGAGGTGACATGCCCAAGGCCTCACTATCCACAGCTAGGGACAGTCCCAGGCCTAGGTTTTTTTTTTTTTTTTTTTTTTTTTTTTAGTTTGTTTGTTTTATTGTTGTTGCTTTTTTGTTTTGTTTCTATTTTATGTTCACATTTCCCTCCTAGCTCTGGGCTGGAGGTTAGGGGAAGGGTCAGAGGAACTGATGTAGGGCAGGGGCTAACGCTTCTCTGGCCCACAGGTAGCAGCCCTGCCCAATCCGAGAGGCCTCCTGGGTGGTGTGGTACACACCATGCAGAAGACTGTCCGGAACACCATCTCAGCGGTGACATGGGCACCTGCGGCTGTGTTGAGCACAGTGGGAAGGATCCTGCACCTCACACCAGCCCAGGCTGTGTCCTCCACCAAAGGGAGGGCCATGTCCCTATCCGATGCTCTAAAGGGTGTTACCGATAACGTGGTAGACACTGTAGTACACTATGTGCCGGTGAGTCCCACCCCAGGGACACCTTCTCCCAAGGTAGATTTGACTGAAGGAGATGTAGACCGCCCCACTCCTTTCTCCCAGCCCCTGGAGACACTTCTCCAATCTCAGTACTCAAAACCTTGCACACTGGACTCCCCCAGCCCAGAGTACAGAGGGTCACAGCCCTGGCCTCAGACCTCTTCCCTACATTGTGCCTCCCATTTGATGATGGAGTCCCGAGTGACTCAACCCTCCCACTTCAGCTCCCAGAAGAAGGGCCTGGCAATAGGCTTTCAAGGCACCTGGAGCAGTACGGTGTGCATTCCAGGGATAGTAGCTGGCCCTATATCAACAGCGGAAGGGGGAGCTGGGAAGCCAAGACTAATGCCATCTTTTTGGGAATCCCTGAGAACCTCTCCAAAGGAAGTTACAGGTTGAGCAGGTTGAAGGAGAGCTTGATGAACAGGCGGTGCCAGGGGAAAGGTTACTGAAATCGTTGAAAGTGGGAGGGGTGGCATGCTTCCAGGGGTCTCCGGGGTACCCTTCATCCCAAACCCCAGTCTTTGCCCTGTGATGGCTGCCCCGTGGCGCACGGGGGTGGTGTGTGTGTGTGTGTGTGCGTGCGTGCGTGCGTGCGTGTGTGTGTGTGTGTGTGCGCGTGCGTGCGTGCGTGTGCGTGTGTGTGTGTGTGTGTGTGTGTGTGTGTGTACTAGGCTAAAGGCCATAGAAAGGGCTGTGACTCTTAACAAGAGTTCCTGGCTCTCAGCTTCCCAGGCTGTCCCTGATGGAGCCCGAGAGCGAATTCAGAGACATCGATAACCCGCCATCAGAGGTCGAGCGCAAGGGGTCTGGGGCAAGACCCGCCAGTCCAGAGTCCGCACAGCGCCCGGGCCAGCCTCGTGGCAGCTTGCGCAACGTGCGTGGCCTCAGCGCGCCCTCCTGCCCCGGTCTTGACGACAAGGCGGAGACATCGCGTCCTGGCTTTCTGGCCATGCCCCGGGAGAAGCCTGCACGCAGGGTCAGCGACAGCTTCTTCCGGCCCAGCGTCATGGAGCCCATCCTAGGCCGAGCACAGTACAACCAGCTGCGCAAAAAGAGCTGAGCGGCCTGCGTCCCTGCTCGCCTGGCGCCACCCCCACGGGAGGGTCGCTTCTCCCAAAGGAAACAGAAACCACACTGCTAAGTGGGTCTCTTCTTTAAGGTGGCCCCTTGGGAGCCTGAGCCACACTTCCACGGTGCTGTTGAGGCACTTCTAAAGCATCCTTTGGGGGCCTGACCATCACAGGCAGTTTTTAAGGGGCACCGGAGCAGCTGGCAATTCTCATTTCATGGCTTTCTTTGCTTTTCTTTAACTAAAAAAGCAATTGCTTAATTCGATTTCTCACTTTTTTAGCAAAACTTCTGGCCAATGACACCTGACTGGTTCTAAAATTCATATCCCTTCTCTGTGAACATGTATTTATTACCAAAAAGTAGTGAGTCAGTTGACATTTTCTTTCCTTTTTTCTGTCTCCTCCTTCCCTTCACGTCTCTCCTCCTCCCCTCTCTTCTTTCTTCCTTCTCCCAAGTAGCACAGGCTGGATCCATCTCCAGTGCTAAGTGAGAGGCGCACACTCTGGCCACTCCCTCTGAATGTCAGGAATTCTCAGGGCATCTTCAGCACTGAGCTCTGAGACCCTCTCATTACCTAGCTCTCAGCACACTGCTTTAAAAAAGAACAACAAGATGCCAAAGCCTTTGAGTGTTTATTTAGATAGCAGCTCTAGTTTCTGAGTCTCTCTCCCCTGCACAGGTGGGCTCGGGTGTGTCCTCCATAGTGTCAGCTTTTACTCACAGCCACACTTCCATTGTGTCACTCTGCATACTCACTCTCGAATGTTGCTACTCCAGATGCTGAAAGCCCGCAATGGTCACCTTTAGCTAACAGTGTATATTATACAGAGCATATATCCATAGCCATCATTCATTCCAAATCCTGTTTTTTGGAAATGTCAATATTTGGTCAATCTAGACAAATTCATAAATACACTTGTAATGTTCAAACATTTCAAAGTGTGTGTTCTCCTTTCTGGACTTCTCAGTTTTCTTTCACGGATCCTTCCAGTTGTAGGCTATGTTTGGGCAAGCGCTTGTGTATAGACCTATCTTTGCTTACATAAACCGTGGGTGGTGTCCTCCCTGGCTTTTCCCACTCTGATCAATACATCCTTTATAATGCTTATTATGCTTAAAAGAAAACAAATTTTTTCTTTTATTTTGCATGTATGAATGTCTTTCTCATATATATGTGTTCTTGGTGCCCGTGGAGGTTAGAAGGGGCATTGGATCCCCTGGGACTGTAGTTTTAGGTGGTTAGCTGCCATGTGGGTGCTGGGAATAAAACCATGGACCTCTGCAAGAGCAACAAGTGCTCTTAACCACAGAGCTATTTCTTCAGCTCCTCAACTATACATCTTATCCATTTTTGTACCAGTATCAGAAGCCATTCGTACTCTTTTGAATGGTAATCTATTATATGAAAATAATAAGAATAATTTGGTGTAGCTAGCTTCCTAATGATGAATTTTTAGGTTGTTTCCTTTTTTCTCCCTACTGTAAACAGTAAAGCTGGGATGTAGCTCTACGGTACAACAAATGCTTAATTTGTGCAAAGCCCTGGGTTCGGTTCCCAGCAACACACACACACACACACACACACACACACACACACACACACACAATCTTATGCATATGTATCTATGGACAAGTTGTAATTTGTAATCATGACATTCTTGATAAAATAATATGTGATTTGAAATACTGATAATTCTGGCTGTCTTTCCAAAGGAAACTCTATTTTGTCCTGTTATTGTCATCTGCTGCTATATAAATGTACACAAATCATTAGGACATGTCTGACATTCCTTCTAGAAATCAATATATACATCATATCCTATTGGAATCCCTCAGACCCATGAGTACCTTCTTGGCCCCTGCTTTGTGGTATGCTAACACCTGGTCTTTGGCAGACCTCTGTTGTAATGAGTTCTCTACCTTAATCCATGGTTTTGGAATTTGAGGCTAACAAAAATAGGAATGGGGAGTGGACAGGGGCATGTACAAGTGAACATGACTAGTATACCCCTCCTAAGTACACACCACACTCAGGAATGCCCTGGACTGTAGTGGGTGTGAATCTTGCAAGAGGGGTCCTTCGATGCTGGAATGCAGGACTGTGAAGACAGAACCCAGCCTATCTCTGGTAGAGCTGCATAGGCAGCTGCTGGAAAGTGACACCAGGCCTGGATGTGCAGAGAGAAATGCAGGCTCGTCCTGGCCTCCCTATCTGTTGGGGGCATCCCCACCTACCCTGGACCTCCCCTATCTACCCTGGATATCTTTTACCTCCCCACCGACCCTGAGATTCCACCCACAACACCACACAAAGCAAAAGAAATCATAAATCCCCTGTATTTCTCGAACATTTGTATTTCCCCTTCTGTCAAAACTTTTATGTACTTTTCTCTCAGTAACTTATTTTCCTTATTGAGGTTTGGGGACTCTGTACATTTTCACAGATAGTGGTCACTCATCAGCCACATGTGCCACATATGTGACTAGTTTTTCAGCTTCAGGATTGTTTTTAAGTGAGCAGAGGTTCTTTCTTTCTTTCCTTCTTTTTTCCTTTCTTTCTTTTTTTAAAGGGCTTTATTTTGGCCAGGTGGTGGTGGCATATGCCTTTAATTCCAGCACTCATGAGGCACAGGCAGGTGGATCTATGTGAGTTTCAGGTCAGTCTGGTCTACAGAGTGAGTTTCAGGATAGTCAGGGCTGCACAGAGAATCTCTGTCTCAAAATAAATAAAAAATAAATAAAATCTAGTAGTAGTAGTACTAGTAGTAATAATAATAAAGGTTTCATTTTGAATTATGTGTATGAGTTCATGTCTGTGTGGGTTTGTGCACATGAGTGCAGTGCCCCAAGAAGCCAAAGATGGCATCTGATTCAATGGAACTACCTGGAGTTACAATTAGTTGTGAGCTACATGATGTGGGTACTAGGAACCAAACTTGGGTCCTCTGCAAGAGCAGTATTTTCTCTGACTGATTTAAATTTAGTCAAAGACATTTTTTATTTTATACTTTGTAATTCTTAGCTACAACGTTATACTTTTTAAAGATTTATTTATTGTGTATACAGTCTTCTGTCAACATGTATGCATGTACACCAGAAGGGGGCACCAGATCTCACTACAGATGGTTGTGAGACACCATGTGGTTGCTGAGAATTGAACTCAGAACCTCTGGAAGAGCAGCCAGTGCTCTTAACCTCTGAGCCACCTCTCCAGCCCTAGTTACAACTTTAAAAGTATTCCTTACCTGGAAGTCGTTATGATATTGTAACAGGGCAGGGCCCCAGAACTTAGTAGGCCCTAGACCTTAGCACAACTGACACCATGATGGAAGTACCACTTAGGCCTTGGAACCCAGCGGGAGGCAGCAACACCTGCCAAAACAAGAACAAAGACCTAATCCATCAAATCCTCTAGTCTGGGAAAGCCCCTAATTGTACTAACCTTGCTTTTTGGCTTCTGTAGTTCCACTTCTGGCTAACAATTATTGCTAATTAAGGTATATCAATCCAGGATGTGGGGGTACTTTGTTTGTTTTGTTGTGTGTCCTGTGTGTTTGTGCGCGCATGAGTGAGCAAGCAAGACAGAGAGAGAGAGAGGGAGAGAGAGAGAGAGAAAGCTTACGTTCTTTTTTTTAATGGGATGGCGTAATGCTTTATTTAACTTTGAATTTTCTTTTTTTCCTCTTTTTATTAATTTATTTTTTACATTCCTATCCCAGTTTCCCCTCCCTCTTCTCTTCCTGCTCCCCCACTCCCGCTCCCATCTAGAGAGCTTTCGATGGGGGATGTCCTTCTGTATATATGCTTCTCTTATTGATTGATGAATAAAACACTGACTGATGGCTAGGGCTTCTTATTGGTTAGCTCTGTCTTAATTATTAACCCATTTCTATTAATCTATGTATTTCCACGTGGTCTTGTCTTACAGGAGAAGGGTTGGACCTGTTAGTCTTTCCTTGGCTACATGGAGTCTCCTTCCGGCACCTCTCTGCCTACCTTGTCCAGAATTCTCCTCATCTCCTAGTCCTGCCTGTCTTCCTGCCTCTATTGGCCAAAGAGTATTTTATTCATCAACCAATAAGAGAAACATATATACAGAAGGACATTCCCCATCAAGCTTGCATTCTTAAAAGCCCGCCCTGAGAAAGGCTTAAGACTGTGCGTGGGTCCTGAAAACACCCAGTGTGGTTACCAGCTGTCTAATAAATACTTTCTATTGGCTTAAACCTATGTCCAAGTGGTTTTTCTCTGATGGATATCTCACAACAATATCTCTTGAATTTCTCCAATTATTTTCATAATGCTGTTCTATACATTTGATTACATTTAAATATATGACTCCGTTCATGTGGAGAACTGACTGGAGGCCTATAGGTTTCTCACTCGCTTCATCCCGAGATTTCTTTAGTGCTGAATACTACAGGAGAAGTGAGAGTTTCTCAGAGGTCAGCTGGAAATTTCTGCCCTCTTGTTGTCTGATGCCTGGTTGGCGTCAACAGACCAAGTTCTGTTTGATGTCCCAGGAAGCCTGACTTGCTGCTGATCAACATCCTGTTATACAAGCTGAGCTTCTAGTATATTCTGTTTATTTCTGTGGGGTTATCTGAATCACGATGGTTCCAGCTTTTAGACCTGCTTAGCCATCCCCACACTGTTCATTGGCAGGAGAGTCTTTGCTACTCCTCACACTTTGCCTTTCCATATAGGTAATAAAAACCAGCCAGCCATACCCTTATGGCCTTTTAGGCCTATCACAACTTTCAAAACATCTGGATTTTTCTTCCCTCCCTTCCTCCCTCTGTTCCTTCTATCCTTTCCTACCTCCCTTTATCCCTTCCTCTTTATCCTCCCTTCCCCTTTGCTTTACCACTGCCTTGCTGTTTGCATCTCCTCCTCACCCCTCCCTTTCTTTCTTGGGTCTTATATAGCCGAGGCTGGCCTCAGACTTGATATTCAGCTGAGGTTGGCCTCAGACTTCTGACCCTTTTTTGTCTCCATCTCCCCAGTCCTGGGGTTGCAGGGATGCACTACCACACCTAACAACACCTAAATTTTCTGACCACAAAAAAAAAAAAAAAAAAAAAAAAAAATCCTTTACGTTCTTGACCCAATATGTGGAACCATCTATTTTGAACTGAGATCAGGGATAAGGACCACAGTTTGAACACTGGGATGGGCGTACTAGATTGTTCTATGTGGGTTTTGGTGGTAGATGTGAAATCATTACCTGCTCACTGGTAAGGGTTAGGAAAAGGTTACTTCTTTGTAAAGTCATGTGTTCGGATTGATAGTTCCAGTGATGTCTAACACCGCAGAATTCTACAATTTTACCGTAACATTAACAGCTTTAGTGTTACCGTCTCTATAGCTTAATTACTATAATTGCTATTATAATTACAATCATAACTCCTCTAAAAATGTGATGCTTCATTTATCTCTGTCACCTTCTCGATGTTTATGCAGGTGTAGCATTCTTCCCATTCAGCATCTCTTTGTCTCCTTGGCAGGCTGCTTTGCATTTTGGGATATTCCTGCTCAGTTCTCCAACTGGTTTAGGCTTTTTGGGACTGACAGGTGGAATTCTATGGCGTGTGAGAGGAACTCTACACTGTATTCATATTTCCCAATTGCTTTACCTCCTTTTGTAGGAAGTGCCACAGCTTCTGGCAGGTCCCCTGCATCAGCTCATATGCATCTAATGGTATTCCGGCATTCTCCTGGTGGCCCCTCCTCATCCAGGAGCCAGCTGGCCACCTGCTTCTATTTCAAAAGACTAGAATATGGCTGTGGTTGACTTCTCGCTATCCATGTCATCTCCGGAGGGTCTGTAGACTGTCACCATGCCAGTGATTAGCTCAGGGATTAACAGACCTAACCATGTGACATACAAGGGTTGAAGGAAAGGACATAAGGACAGGTCACTTGATTCCAAGAGCACT